TAAAGTGAAATACGAAGATATTAGTAAATAGCAATGGAGAAATTGGTGTTTTTTTCATGTAATGCACGTGTGTGTGTGTGTGTGTTTGTCAGACTCAGCTGCCCCGCCCTCCTCCCGCCTGTAATGTTGGCCTTTTGGTGCCGAGTGTCCGAGTTGCATTCTCGCAGAACACAAGCGTACACGGCATGACACCCGCTGATTGGTCAATGCACTCTGTGATGGGCAGGTGTCTCCTCCACTACTCCCTTCCACGTGTGATGTGCTCATCTTGTCCATTCGAGCATTACCTAATTAAACCAAACCAAACTAACCTAACCTGACCTGACTTTACCTGACCTAACTCACTACTATCAATTCCTTCTAACCTACATCAATCTACTATTATTTCTCTTTCACGTGTGGCGTGCCAACAAAATCCAGTCTAACCTAACCTAACCTAACCTCTCAGTAGTGGGAGAGAGACTACAGAACATCATGGTTGTCAGTGAAAGTCGTAATGTGTAGTTGTGGTTTTATCATGTTTATTTTTTATTAATTTTTCTCTTCTCCGTGTCCTACGGGTAGCATGTGCTGTCTCCGTCAGCTTGTTTCGCTGTCCACCATCCCTTACAACATAGCCGCCGTCTTGCTCTGCTAACCTGAACTCCTAGTGTTAGCCGTATATCTTGTTGCTTTTGCCTGTGTGTTAAGCTGGCAGCTGACTGACACCTAGGGCCGTTCTCAGCCAGGTTGTCTAGGAAACATATAACGCATTGCTTTACTTGTGTGTCTCACTAGCTTGCCATCCATGTTTACTACGTTTTTCATTATCCATGTCTTAAACTCTACCGCAACATCGCATATTTTATCATTAATTCCTTGAGCCACGTGAGCACAAGGAACACCTCTCTCTGGCTCAGTATACAATTTGTATTGTTCGCATCATCATCTCGGTGTGGCTGACCAGGAGCCACTCGGCTGGCGGGCGTGAGCAAGGAGATGGTGCCAACACCTTCCCTCCCTCACGCCCACTGTTACGTGAACACTCAAACATAAGATTAGTTCCTTGTAAGAAGTGTCTCTGGTCCTGCTGCTTGGGAATGATAATGATACATTTTATTATCTGTGGTTGACTTTGTTCAGTATGTTTAATAAAAGAATATTCAAATCAGTCGTTGTGTGATGAGTGTGTCAAACAAGACAACAGACGTACCAAAATGTCTGATAAAAACAGAATAATTCTGCCACTTATTAACACAAATAGTTCGTGTTTGAGAGTCAGGCTGGAGAAGTAATGGTAAAATAAAGTTGAGAGTGAGGTATTAGCGTACAATATATAGCTACAATGTCTACGTCGACAAGAATTTTACGTGTGGAAATATAATGGATTACTTTGTTGTCTACACATCTTATTAGTACTTGTCCTTAAAGATTATATTGTTGAGGATACGAAAGTAAAGATCATTCTATCAAGGAATTAGTGCATACAACAAGAAGGTATTTTTATAAATCATGCAAGAGGGTCGTCATGAAGGTGTAGACGCTGTAGAGTTAGAGTGTACTGTAGACAGTGGCAGGTGTAGTTCCCCGATATACCGTGCCAGGAGGGAGGGCGCTGTCCTAGATTGAAGAATTAACCTCACACTGGCGGTCACTTCATACATTATGTTTACCTGGTAAGCATGCTCGGTCAGTGGAACAAATGGCTAATTATTGCTTGTAAATCCCTCCTCCGGATGCTCATTAGTCTCATTTTAACAATAGAAACGAGAGTGGTGTATCTCTCTTATTTTTTAATTGTAATATTAACTGATGACACGAAAAACCTTTATAGAATTTGTTGTTGTGGAAAGTAACAATAAAAAAATGTCCAGCACAACAATATAAGGAAGATGAACGTATAAAACAATTAAAGACAAAGGTAAATAAATATAATTATAATATTAGCTGCAGTAAATCTAGATATATTCTCCATTTTTAAAAGGCTTCAGAGTAATATGTTTTGGTTTTGTTGTTATTGCAGAAGAAAAAGAAGCGCACGGGCGGCAAGAAAACCAGCAAGGAAAAGGAGCTGGCGTCCTCTCTGATGGTGGCCTGCCTCAAGCGTCTCCTGCCTGTAGGTCTCAACCTTTTCGCTGGCAGAGAACAAGAGCTCGTCCAACACTGCAAGGAGAAGTACCTTGCTGTTAGTATTCTCATCGTTTTGCTCGAGGCCAGGGAGTAACTTAACTAATTGTTTATTACTAACAGTATATATCCTTGATGCAGCAAGTAAGTGACGTGTTCATTTCAATCAGTATATTTATTTATCAGTCACAAAAGGTAACTGAAGGCTCGTGCTCAGTGACATTGTATGAATGAACAACATATTTATAATTTTTATTAATTTTTGGATTAAGGTACTTATTGGACGTTTCAGTTACTGTATTTTGATTACGTCATTTGTCCATTTGTGGAAGGTGGCAGACGTAAACCAGTGAGTCAGCGTTGTTGGTCACGTGTTGCTTGTCTGGTGCCAGAGTACTTTACCCCTTCTGAGGTTACTTGTATGTTTACTTGCTCCACTGACCGGTCTTATTCTTCATAATAGGTGACTGTTTCGTGTTTATTGTTAGTGAGAGTTGGGGTGTGAAGTAACATCTTGTGTATTCCAACAGAAAATTTCAGAGTCAGAGATCCAAGACTTCGCTAAGACTCAACTCACCTTACCGGACAAGTACGACCCTTCAGACTCCATGAACTGGCAGCACACGTTGTACTCCCGGCTGGGCGGTGGTCGTGTGCCGCGAGAAGAGGACGACGATAAGAAGCTGGTGCCCACCGTCGACGACACCGTCGATCGCATCGTCGCTATGGCTAAAGTTCTTTATGGCCTTCATATCGTGAGTGTACTTTAGTTAATGTGATAAACTATGATAAACTCACTGGTTATCCTCTCATGAATGTGTTTATATATATATATATATATATATATATATATATATATATATATATATATATATATATATATATATATATATATATATATATATATATATATATATATATATATATATATATATATATATATATATATATATATATATATATATATATATATGTATATATGTGTGTGTGTGTGTGTGTTTTACACTTAATAAGGATAATTTAGCTGTTTATATGTTGGCAAACAAAATTTTAAATGAAACGAATAAATTTCACCGCACATATATTAATTCCCATTAGGTTGTAGGAATGGAAAAAAATTAGGCCTATCCATTTTTGGTAAATATATCAGTTACTTTTTAAAATTTAATCCGCAATTATCCCTATTTAGCGTATATATATATATATATATATATATATATATATATATATATATATATATATATATATATATATATATATATATATATATATATGTGTGTGTGTGTGTGTGTGTGTGTGTGTGTGTGTGTGATTACATTAATGGATGGATACAAGTGGGTTATGGAGGTTGTATAGTCTATAAAGCTTGTACAGTAGGTGTCAGTAACACTCAGTGCCTGGGGCCGCTGCCACACAAGAGAATGCTGACATGTAGATACTCTTTGCCTGTCTCTACTATTAAATCTGTTATCTCTTTGGCATTCTTTGTTGCATCGCAGTTGAAATTATCCTTGATAATTTACAATTTGCCGAAATTTTGGCATTTTAAAGTTATTCTCTTGCATGTGCATAAATCAAATTCCCTGGTCGGTTAGTTGTGGGTCGTGCACGTTCTGTCTTATTACAACTGTTTACTGGAGACTGCTGGTAGTGTTGTGACCTGTAGACGCTGGTCATGTTGGGGAGGACGCTGTTAGTCCCTGCTCCTGCCTCCCGGAGGTCATTACATATTGGGATTCTCTTGCTGAATATCGTGAGCCCAGAGATGGGTAACCTGCACACTTTGGTAGCACTAGACCCTTCCTGCCTCTAAGTCATGTTTTAGGAGAATGAAAACTTTTTCGTTAATCTTATTGTTTCTATGATTTGCTGTGTTTGCTGGCGTCCTTCCTTCCTATTTATGCATTTCTGCTACGGCTGAGTAACGATGGTACGGACCAACAGATTGACCACCCGCAGTCCTCCAAGGAGGTTTGGCGTTCTGTTGTCTCTATCCAGAGGAAGCGAGCCGTCATCGCCTGCTTCAGACAAACGTCGCTACACATGATGCCAAGGTACCTGGGTTTCCGGAGACTGCAGGAGGTCCTGGACCCAGTGTGTGGTGATGGTGGTGATGCTGCTGCTCCCGTCTTGCTCTCTGCTACAACTGCTGCTGCTAGTCTCCCTCACTCCCGTTGGCTCCACATGGACGATGCCCATTGTCTGACTCTCCTCACCATTAAACCTTAAGACGAGCTTTTATGTCGTCTCTTAATTATTTTAATTTTAGTTAATAAGAATATAAAGAGCCGCGGGAGTTGTTGAACGAGAGACTCACGTGCACAATTGTTAAGCAGAGTTGCAAGTGACCTTTTGCATGACTCCTGCCCCACTCCCTCAAGACTGTAGTATGTAGGCACCTGTTTTAATGCTTACATTTTGGTATTATTTCTTTGGTGAGGTATTTCAGTACTGCATCATGGCGAGTATCTCAGTTTGTTGATCAGTGTTATATACAGTACACTTGATGCCACGTTTATCTGTATGATTATTATCCCATTATATTTTTTGCATACAAGCCAAAGATCCTTCAACCTATTTATGTCAAATATCCAGTTATTCTTGTCTATTTGATTTATGTCCATATTATTAGTAACCAAACTAACTGTAAATTTCACAATGTTCTATATAATAAGAAATATAAAGCAGGTTTCTATATCCAACTTTTCAGAATTTTAATTTAGTGGCCAAACTACCATACTAACATCTGTCACTTTGGTAGATAAACCGGGAAGACACAAATTTTGCACGAGGCCACCTTAAGCTTCCTCTGTAAAGAAACAAATGCATATACTGTATTATAAACATAACACATCTTGTTTAATGGGAGAGTGTAGTGTTTACATCAGTAAGCTTCATGATACTGGTCACTGAAACTTTATCTTTACCTTTTTGTTTAAATTTTATAATTTGTTTCTATCGACCAATCGTTCTGTCTCAGAGTCTTTACAAATTTACAAGCAAAGTAAACTGAAGGCTGATGTATAACAAGACCACCACCGTCGTCATTCTAGCTCCGGTAAAATCAGGTTGTGTGATGAATTGTGTCTTCTCGGTCGCCCCACCCGCCTAGTACATGTGTGTGTCAGGGATCACTCACCCACCCACCACCACTGCTTTCTCTCGCTCGTCTTCTTACTGTTATTTTTTAAAATCTTAACAATGTTTCAGGTACCACTCTTGCGAGGTTTATTTTAACATTGATGTTCGTGTGGGTGGGGTTGTTGAGAGATGGCTTTGTGGTGGGTTGGTGCCGCTCGCTGCCCACCTCCGTCTCCCACGACCACGCTCCCACTCTCTCCACGCTCCCTGCCCGCCCATTTCATCCCCACCCTGTAGTCCACGACTGATACATAATATACTGTACGTATGCATTAGAGTCGTGGAAGGGCTGAGTGTGTGCGGTAGAGGACAGGTGAGTGTGGTGGAGGTAGCTGGGTGGCCGGTGTGGTGGTAGGTGGCGGGAGGCTGTGTGTTATGATAACGGTGCTACCGACTAACAGCTGGTGCTGGCGGCCTACAGGCCTGCACTCCCCCCGCCTCACGTTCGGGCTGGAGGAAGTTGCTGTCATTTGCCCGCAAGCGCGCCGCCATCGCCTGCCTGCGCTCCGTGCCCTTCTATAACATACGCAGGTAATGGGTCGTGGACACCTTGGACCTCCTGCTTCGCCCTCCAGGCTCACTCTCCTGCGTCCTCCACTAGTCTATCAAATATATCAGTGTTCAAACATTCTGGTTCTGGCAAACTCTGAGTAGACCCTCGACTATATTGTTAGGATTATCCAGTCATAAGCACTGAGCATCCCCCTTCACATACAAGAGCTGTTGTAATATTGCAATAAATACTTAAAAAAAATTAAAGTTGATATGTGACACATGCACGGAGAGTCAGCCCGTGAGTGGCTTATATAGCTACTGTAGCAGCTTCTGGTCCTCCTGGTGTTGTCAGTAATATGGCTGTTGGTCTACACCAACTGTGTGTGTATATATATATATATATATATATATATATATATATATATAATGGCAACACTAGAGAAGATGAAAGATGTTTGTTGTTTTACTAATGTCAGTTAATAACTGTATCATGTTGTTGTCTTGCTTGGTACTAGTAGAGAGGTCTGCAGAGTGATGCTTATACAGTACCTCTCAGCAAACAAGATCATTAGAGTCTCAGCCCTGTCTTAGTTTATCCCTGAGAGCTGCACCATGTGTGGCGCTGTCATGGTAGGTTGGGTGACGCATATAACGTGAGTCACGCCAAGATTCAAAATCGTAAATTTGTACTTGTTTCTTTTGCGTTCTTTAAATAGAGATTTGTAAAGAAACGTTTAGTCAAACTAGAGTTTCACTGTAACTTCGACGCATTTTCGCTGCCATCTTTGTGCCGGGTCTTTACATGAGTTTCCAGGCCTGCAGCAGATGAGTCTTTGAGACTGAACAAAAGTGGTGCTAAAGAAAGATAGTTAACGTGGGTCAGAACTCTTCATACATGTCAATTAATGAATATACTGTACTGTTATTTGCCCAACATCAACTTAATATCTGTTCTAGTCTTAATGTATACATGTCTCACACCAACATGTGTGTAGGAGAGCCACGAGGTAACGAGACACCGGTACACTCTACTGATGATGGCTCCTTACTGGATCACCTGAAGACTGTTCCCTAGCTTATTTTACCTTGAGATTAACCACTCTAACATTAACCTAATCCAACCAAACATAATCTAACCCACAGGTAGCGTCAGGGTGATTAATCATCAAGTGAAATAAGATTCTTGGACTAATGTTGAGATGATACATTTTATTTGATATTATCTCACCAACATTACCCTTCAAGGTTGTTGCCGCTCAGAAGAGGACTTAAGTCGTAACAATAAACAGTGGAGAGCGTCTTGACACTTGACCGAATTCTCGTTTCTTATTAGTTTATGCACAACGAATGGCGTCAACGTGGAGCTGCTGTTTCCCCTTCATTGTACATGAGCTTTAGTTCTTGGAAATCTTTTAGTTTAGCTAATTGGAATCCGTGATAATTATGTTTATCTCTGTGTCTAAATCATGTAGTTGGCCTTAACGAGTCTGTGATAATGGTAACGATGAGACAGGAGTGTTGTGGGCGTCCAAGCAGCCTCCTCTGGTGATCTTGTCTTGCCACAGCTTCGAGCCTACAACATCTTGGGTCTCAAGGCTGAACGTGTCCTAACCTCTAACTTGCCTCACCTCTTGCCTGCTGGTGGAGACCTCCCAGACCCCAGAGACCATGCCAGAGCGACAGTTACCTCCAACTGTGACAAATTTTCAGCCTTAAAATCCAAAATGTTTGAAGTGTGAATGTGGCCTGTGGCTATGTTTGCATTTTTTTTTGTTTTCTTTCCAAGTTTTTTTTTTTTTTTTGGTATTTGTTTTCACTGTACTGCTGTCATAAGATCCTTTTGAGTAGTGTTGCAGTACTCTGGCGCGTTGTAGATCATCTGTGATGTTCCTCAGTTGTGTACAGTAGCTGAGAACACCACAAGACTTATAATCTTCAACACGACCAGTAATTAGGTTGAGATTTTATGATGATATTTTAAGTGCCGTCCGTCTCTTAGAGGCAAAATTATTTCGCAGCCCAGGCTAGTAAATAATTAAATGGGGAAGGCTGAGGCAATAATACTTAATCTGTATGGCTGGCTCTCTTCACCACCCACCTAGGATAGTCCTTGTATTAGCTGCTCTGACTCTCATCATCTCTTAAGTAGACGCTTCACATGTAGCTGCTAGGCAACAACATAACCTGACCAGCCGCTTGTAGCCACCACTCTTGTCATTAATATCTGAGCCTCTGCCTTGCGGGTGTGGGCGCCGCCGAGTACTACTACCAAATACTAACGGGCATATCAGTCTAACCTGATTTTTTTCAAACCAACATATCATACAGGCATCGCGCTGTCAACCTGTTCCTCCGCACCTACCGGGAGTACTGGTTGTCTGACGAGAACGTGGGCCAGGAGGTAGTCATCGAAGACCTCACGGTAAGTAAGCTGGCTTTGCCGGGTACAGGTGACACCTGGGTACTAGTGACACCTGGGTACTGGTAACACCTGGGTACTGGGTACATCATCTTGTGTTGGATTTGAAAGGGCTACTTGTTAGGTCAGTCACCGTGGTCATAGGTCGCGTGTGTTGTGGATGGTCCTCTTTACCCTGCCTGGGCAAGGTGAAGCTTGTGCAGCTGTATACATGCTCACCCTGGCTAGACTACTAGGGGATGGTCATTTATAAGCAGGAGGTGTAACAATACTGTCGACTGTCAGGAGATGTAGTATGATTGCCGACTGTCAGGAGATGTAGTATGACTATCGACTGTCAGATGAAGTATGACTGTCGACTCTCAGGGAATGTAGATGTAGCATCCTGACCAGCATATCTCCTCCTCGGACCAACACCAGATGATATTTCACCAACTTATAATATCACGTTATAGGTTGAAAACTTGTCATACTCCACAGTCGTGACAGCTTGAGAACATTTCTGACATTACTAGTAATTGTAACTGCTATATAACTTTAGCTCTTTCAGACAATGTTACAAAAGCATTATGTTAAAGGTAGAGAGGGTTTTTAATCATTTAAAAGGAATAACGTTATTTATGATATGATTTGCCTTCTTTACCTGTCAACACACCTTTCTGCGCTCACTGCTACATGGCACATTAAAAGTCCCCCTTTATTGCCGACTCTCCAGCACGCTCGGCCATGGACTTGTTAAATTACTCCCTGAATTATAGCCGCATTACAATCTTGAATACACCACTGAATACACATAACAATAACATTATCTAAATTTGAGTGTGTATAAATTCTCGTCCTTTAAAGCAATCGTTCGAGGAGGCAGAGAGCAAGAAGAAGGAGGCTGAGGAAGACGAAGGTAAACCCGACCAGCTTACACAACTGGTAACGACCTTTAGCCATAAGGCGACGACGGAGCACACAGGAGTCTTGGCCGAGGACCCACTCTATATGTCCTACGCTGAGATCATGGGTACGTGTCTGGCCCGCCCCGCCCCGCCCTGCCCTCTTATGTTTGGACATAGATCAGTAGGCACAGAGGAAGGTATACCAGTAGACATGATGGGACCTGGACCAGTAGACCTAGTGGGACATGAACCAATATATACTGTGGGACATGAACTAATATATACTGTGGGACATGGATCAATAGGTACGGTGGTACAAGGACCAATATATACGGTAAGACATGGACCAATATGTACTGTGAGACAAGGACCAATATATACGGTAAGACATGGACCAATATGTACTGTGAGACATGGACCAATAGGTACGGTGGTACAAGGATCAATATATACGGTAAGACATGGACCAATATGTACTGTGAGACATGGACCAATAGGTACGGTGGTACAAGGATCAATATATACGGTGAGACATGGACCAATATATACTGTGGGACATGAACCAATATATACTGCGGGACATGGACCAATATATACTGTGAGACATGGACCAATATATACTGTGAGACATGGACCAATATATACTGCGGGACATGGACCAATATATACTGTGGGACATGGACCAATATATACTGCGGGACATGGACCAATATATACTGTGGGACATGGACCAATATATACTGTGGGACATGGACCAATATATACTGTGGGACATGGACCAATATATACTGTGAGACATGGACCAATATATACTGCGGGACATGGACCAATATATACTGTGGGACATGCACCAATATATACTGTGGGACATGGACCAATATATACTGTGAGACATGGACCAATATATACTGCGGGACATGGACCAATATATACTGTGGGACATGGACCAATATACACTGTGGGACATGGACCAATATATACTGTGAGACATGGACCAATATATACTGTGGGACATGCACCAATATATACTGTGGGACATGGACCAATATATACTGTGAGACATGGACCAATATATACTGTGAGACATGGACAATGCATGCACCAATATATACAGTACAGTACTGTGGAACATGGACCAATATATACTGTGGGACATGGACCAATATATACTGTGAGACATGGACCAATATATACTGTGGGACATGGACCAATATATACTGTGGGACATGGACTAATATATACTCTGAGACATGGACCAATATATACTGTGGGACATGGACCAATATATACAGTACAGTACTGTGGGACATGGACCAATATATACTGTGGGACATGCACCAATATATACAGTACAGTCCAGTGGAGCATGGACCAATATACTGTGGGACATGCACCAATATATACTGTGGGACATGCACCAATATATACAGTACAGTACTGTGGAACATGGACCAATATACACTGTGGGATATGGACCAGAAGACATAGTGGTACATAGACTCAGTAACAATGTCTGGGTATGGATTAAAGGTGTTTATTAACTTGTCAAATCTACGGAGACCAACGTAGCCAAAACTCACCAGACTATGTTACATAAACTCGACTAAAGTTTCTCTTGCGGCGCTGAAAATATAACTGTGCAGTATTTACATTTAGTTACGATATAGTGACTGGTGGTCTAATGGTGGTTTAATAAAGTCTGACTTTCACGTTAACTCAATGAATCTTTCGTGCAGCCAAGTCCTGTGGTGAAGAGGAAGAAGAGGAAGGAGACGATGAAGGCGGTGAGGAAGATGGAGGCAACGAGGATCCCACAGCGGCTCTTAATGTACGTATTGTAGCTAGGTTGTCTTGGTCTACTGATCACTGCATATACCTTCTGAAGAGTTTATTAATATCGGGTTAAAACACACATAATCCTTGTTGTTACTGACACTTTGAACCACTAACATGTACTACTAACAGGTGTATTTAGCGCCAGTAATGAAAAAAAAAAAGTTTGTTTAACCCCAGCATTGACCTGTCCTTGTTCTTGTTGTACATGCTCTCCCTCGCGGCCGCTCCCGGACCATGGAGGACCTGATGGTAGGTGACCCGCCCCCTGGCTACTCCTCTTACCTGTGTATTGTGATAACCTGTCCATGCTTCTGACTGTCATAACCACCTGTCCTCTCTGACTGTCACAACCATCTGGCCTCTCTGACTGTCATAACCACCTGTCCTCTCTGACTGTCATAACCACCTGTCCTCTCTGACTGTCATAACCATCTATCCTCTCTGACTGTCATAACCACCTGTCCTCTCTGACTGTCATAACCACCTGTCCTCTCTGACTGTCATAACCACCTGTCCTCTCTGACTGTCACAACCACCTGTCCTCTCTGACTGTCATGACCATCTATCCTCTCTGACTGTCATAACCACCTGTCCTCTCTGACTGTCACAACCACCTGTCCTCTCTGACTGTCATAACCACCTGTCTTGTACGATTGTGTATGATAATATATAATGCATGGTCTGTGTTGTATGGTGACAAATGGTGTAATTATATATACTTTATTTTGTATAATAATAATAATAATAATAATGATAATAATAATAATGATAATAATAATAATAATAATATACAGGAAATAAGGGTTGAGTCTAGATTCGAGTGTCTATATTATTATTATTATTATTATTAGTAGTAGTAGTAGTAGTAGAAGTAGTGGTAGTAGTATATTAAATGGGAAATAAAGGTGTAGAGAGATATTAAACCCTAAAACCTTCGCTGTAAACAGAAATTAGTGGATAGTATGTAGAGTAAGAACATATAAATGCGTTCAATTTAAAGGAACATTATCATTAACACTGTTGATAGAGTCAAAAGCCTGATAGATGTTACTAATAAACACCACACATGTACGTTTTTATTATTTGCTGCGCCTCGGTGTACACATCTGCTGATATACTGTACTAGGTCTTTTTTTATTTATTTTTTATTCGGGAACCCTAAATAATTATTATATTTTAGGACTTGCAATAAACAGAAAACTAAAAATCAGTAACAATAAAGTATGGCATTGTTTAGAACATATATGTTTTTCGCAATGATATGACCAGACTATTATTCCCACAGTGCTGAGGTTTAGGTTCCTGTTTATTGCACGTCTTAAAATACTATAATCATTTAGGGTTCTTGAAAAGAATAATGACCTTATAGACTCACTGCAGAGTATCGAAGTGAAATGTGACGCTGTATCACCTTTTCAGGAGCAAGAGTTGGAGAAGCAGAAGCTGTTGTTCCACCAGGCACGTCTTGCCAACCGAGGGGTGGCAGAGATGGTGTTGTTACATGTATCGGCGACCCGCGGCCAGCCAGGAGAGATGGTCATGACCACCCTCAAGCTGGGTATTGCCATTCTCAGGGGTGGCAACGTCGACTGTCAAGCGGTGAGTCACATTCTACCGCGTGTCTACCATCACCGCTTTCATCCGAAATCGGACTTGTTTCTCGTACTGGACTATGACTTACTACATAGGTTTAATAACTGTTTTATGAGTTGTGCTCCGCCATGACCTGGTTGTTGTTCCCTGCAGGCCATGTTGAATTACCTGAAGGAGAAGAAGGACGCTTCCTTCTTCCTTTCCATCGCCGGGTTGATGAACTCCTGCACAGTGCTGGACCTTGACGCCTTCGAGCGCAACACCAAAGCCGAGGGTTTGGGTGTGGGCGCTGACGGATGCGCCGGCGAGAAGAACATGCACGACGCAGAGTTTACCTGTGCGCTCTTCCGCTTTATCCAACTCACCTGTGAAGGCCACAACCTGGGTCAGTAGAGAAGGTTGTGTGGCGCTCACTCCATCACCTCTGTCGCCACGTTCACAGTCCCTCACCTTTGTAGCCACGCCCGCAGTCCCTCACTTCTGTGGCCACGCCCACACTCCCTCACCTCTGTGGCCACGCACATACTCCCTCACCTCTGTGGCCTCACTAAGCTATCATGCCTATGTGGCTACACCTAAGCTCTCTCACCTGTTTGGGCACACTTAAACTCTCTCACCTGTATGGCCACACCTAAACTCTCACCTGTATGGCCACGCCTAAACTCTCTCACCAGTTTTGTCAATACTCCTACTCCTTCAGCAGCTGCAGCTAATCAGTATAAAAACCAGGAACGTGGCAACAATTATGCGGTTCTACAGTATAATTACACTATTAGATGTAGGTGTAGTAAGAATCTTACCATTGTTATAGTATTTGACTGAATGATATTAATTGAATAAGAACATAAGATATCGTAAACAATATTACAGACTGGCAGAACTACCTGAGGACGCAGGCAGGTAACACGACGACGGTGAACGTCATCAACTGCACAGTAGATTATCTGTTGCGCCTGCAGGAGTCCATCATGGACTTTTACTGGCACTACTCCTCCAAGGAGATCATTGACCCCGCCGGCAAGTCCAACTTCTTCAAGGCTATTGGTGTGGCCAGTCAGGTAAACACTTGAGGTCGATGCCTGACAGATAAATGAATTGTACCAACAAAATGATTGATAAAAAAACAGACCAAACAGTCAAGAAGAAGAAAATATTCAGTGATTTAGAGTCAGTGAGGTTAAGACCAAAATTAATTAGTTACCAATTACAGGTTGACAACCCTTTATCCGAAATTCCAAAAACCGAAAAGCTCTGAAAACCGAAAGTTTTTTGTGGAGCAATTTTTTTTTGGTTACCTGGCCACTGACCCACATCGGGGCCTGGGGGGCGAAAATGTAATAGTAATAATAATTATAATAATAATAATAATGATAATACAGTAATAATAATAATTATTCATAGTAAATAAAATTTTTAATAAAAAATACACAAAAATAAAATAAGAAATACAAGATTGAAAAAAGATCAAAAGTGAGAAACACGACCTAGACCTATGAATTATTAATATTATTATTATTATTATAATTATTATTATTATTATTATATTTTAGCCCCCAGGCCCCAATGTGGGTCAGTGATCTGTGCCCGGGTGGGCTGATCCCTGTAAAAAAAAAAAAAAAAAAAAAAATCATTCTGAAAACCGAAAAATTCCAAAAACCGAAATGCATCTGGTCCCAAGGATTTCGGATAAGGGATTGTCAACCTGTACCATAATAAGATTTGGCCATTATAAATATGAGTGTCATGTGAAGCTAAACAGTCAGAACATCACATAACCTTAATCTTACTTCAATACATGTATACTGTACACACTTGTACAAGATGCTTAGAAAGACTAAAGGATAGAGTAGTTATAAAAATATGTTGGTTAGACCCAAGAAAATATTTCCTTACTGGTAGAGTAGAAGGTTGGTTGGATGATTCACCAACAAGAGCAGTTCTTTATAGTAAGTGTTGAAGAAGCGCGCACACGCCTACAGTTGTGCGTTTAGCTTGGCTTAATATACAATTTCTACATAGGTTTTATTACAAGGATTTGGAATCCAAATAGAAACCCTTTGATTTATATGGTAAGTAAAGTGTTGTCGTATACTGTAGGTGTTCAACACGCTGACTGAGGTGATCCAGGGCCCATGTGTGGGCAACCAGCAGACCCTGGCCCACTCCCGTCTGTGGGACGCCGTCGGGGGCTTCCTCTTCCTCTTCTCCCACATGCAGGACAAGCTCAGTAAGCATTCCTCTCAGGTCGACCTCCTGAAGGAGCTCCTCAACCTGCAGAAGGACATGGTCATCATGATGCTCTCTATGCTGGAGGGTAAGTCGACTTGTGCTGGAGGAGTTCAATGAGGTCAATATATAGAGAAATCTAAACGTCTCCAAGACATTTGCTTATATTTTACACAATGATGTTGTCAATTTCATTAAAGAGGCGAAAGCCAAGATGCATTAGGAGTACTTCTTGTGCAGATAATACTAAAGTGCACTTCACGTGACAGGTAATGTGGTGAACGGCACCATCGGCAAGCAGATGGTGGACACACTGGTGGAGAGCGCCTCCAACGTCGAGGTAAGACATCTTCCTCCCATGTGTTACCTAATGGAGGGGCTGACGGAAGTTCTGTGGGAGGGAGGGAGGGAGGAAGGTTGAGGGAAGGCTAGATGAAACACCTGGAGGAGGGGAGGGGGGAGGATAGAAGAGAGGGATAAGGTAAGCCGGAGAAGAATGAGGCACAACGGGATTATGGCTGATGCAGGAAGAGGATAATTAAGTACAGAGAAAAAAATGGATTAAGAGCGGGAGGAGAGAATTATAATTATGAAAAAAACAACAAGAAAGTTGTGATAACGATCATCTGACAACTCCAGAATATTAGTGTGTAAGTCTGGATCACTTAGACCAATGAGAGAATTTTGGTTCTGTGAAATAGATCACTGGGGAAAGGGTTTGTGTGTGTGTGTGTGTGTGTCATGAAGGAGGGTGTCATACAGTGTGTCATGAAGGAGGTGTCATACAGTGTGTCATGAAGAAGGGTGTCATACAGTGTGTCATGAAGAAGGGTGTCATACATTGTGTCATGAAGGAGGTGTCATACAATGAGTCATGAAGGAGTGTCATACAGTGTGTCATGAAGGAGTGTGTCATACAATTTGTCATGAAGGAGGGTGTCATACAGTGTGTCAGGAAGGAGGGTGTCATATAGTGTGTCATGAAGGAGGGTGTCATATAGTGTCATGAAGGAGGGTGTCATACAATGTGTCATGAAAGAGGGTGTCATAGTATCATGAAGGAGGGTGTCATATAGTGTGTCATGAAGGAGGGTGTCATATAGTGTGTCATGAAGGAGTCACAGACATACAATGAGTCATGAAGGAGTGTCATACAATGTGTCATGAAGGAGTGTGTCATACAATTTGTCATGAAGGAGGGTGTCATACAGTGTGTCATGTCATACAGTGTGTCATGAAGGAGGGTGTCATACAGTGTCATGAAGGAGGGTGTCATACAATGTGTCATGAAAGGGGTGTCATAGTATCATGAAGGAGGGTGTCATATAGTGTCATGAAGGAGGGGTATCATACAGTGTGTCATGAAGGGGGTGTCATAGTGTCATGAAGGAGGGTGTCATATGGTGTGTCATGAAGGAGGGTGTCATATAGTGTCATGAAGGAGGGTGTCATACAGTGTGTCATGAAGGAGGGTGTCATATGGTGTGTCATGAAGGAGGGTGTCATATAGTGTCATGAAGGAGGGGTATCATACAGTGTGTCATGAAGAAGGGCGAGAGATTTTCTTTGTGTTGTGTGGCAAATATAGGTCATATATTTACATCATTATTAAATATGTTTGGTCTCGCCTCTTATGTTCTCTCTATAGAACTGTGTATTTCTAGTGTACCATCTGGTAGGGACTCCCGAATGTGGTATAACGGACTGACGTGGCTTAGAGGCTCATATAGTTTAGTTCTGATATCCAAGAGTCTGCCTTCCGAGGAGATAATGTAACTAACTTCGATTCTGTTTTATCATTTTTGAAAGTTGAAGCGAACAGCACTGACTGTATGGAATGAATATGTCAGTGAAGTATTGTTTTTTTTTAATTTTTCTGTTTTTTCTCCATTTTTTTCTCATTACAAGCAGAAGCATATGAGGTAAGGAGGTTAAATTAAGAGGGGAGGAGGCCGACAACCTCATGGGGAGGTAGAAGGCCAGCCTGTGAGTCATCCGTTACACCCTGAGGGAAGCTCTTGGCTCATCTTATTTACTCATTACTTAACCATTGCTATATGAAAGCTTACTATTAACCAAGAGCTAGATGATGTTGGTAGTGGTTAGGCAGGAGGTGACATCATATGACTGCAGAACCAAGCTGTGTGCAGAACCTCAAAGAATAACTCTTTTATCTACCTCACAACACAGATGATTCTTCGTTTCTTCAATCTTTTCTTGAGGCTCAAGGAAGTGACGTCGTCGCCATCGTTCCTGGTAGGCGACAGTCCCCTCCAATCCCCTCCCCCACAGCGCCTGAGGCTGTGCCGCCCACTGCCGTCACCACCAAAACACACCCACCGCCCTCCTCCCTGCTACACACGCCAGCGAATTTTTAAGACGCACTCGCATATCTTGTCCAAATTCCTATCTTTTGTATTGAGTTCTGTCTAATGTCTCGCCCTTGTGGAAATACCACACTTATTTCATGTGGTGGAGAAAGAAAGTAGGAGGAGCGGCGCAGCGCGGCAGTTGTTGGGTGACAGCGGGCGAGCGGGTCGCGGCCTTAGGAGTGACACCTCGTCAATTTTTGTCTGTTAATATTAATAACTGCAAGAATTCAGCACCTCAATTGACACCTCGGCCATGAGACCCAGTCACGCTTTTCTTTAATCTCCGAGTGCCCCTCTGACCAGTCAGGTGCCTCCCAAGACAGCTTGACCCCTAGCATCACGGAAACTCTCAATCCCCGCTAATATGTCCTGCATCGCATTATGCTTGTTTTATTTTTTAAATGTATTCTCATTTATTAATTATTATCCTCGCATCACTCTTATGGTTATCAGAAATGTACCCCAACACTCCCTGGTGTGACTCCTGGCAGGCCTTGGAGCCTCACACCAGCACACCACCATAGCACCCAGTTTTCCTCTCCCTCAGTCACTCAGCTTTGGCCTTACTTCCTGCTCACCGTGACGCCGTCCCCTAGTTGGCGGCAATAGTACCGTCAGGCGTCGCGCACCAAAGTCCTGGCCATGAAATGGATAACTTTGATACTGCTAGCCATGCCTTTAACCAATATCCAAGAATACTTGGATAAAAGTGAATGGAATAAACTGTGAAAAATGTTTCCGAACATTGTTGAAAGCTTCTTTCAACTTTGTCGATAATTGTGTGTTTTCAGAACTGGTCATTTGGAGTTATTTTCAAGTGGCAGAATTTACTTCGAAACATGTTATTGAGAAATTAAGCTGCGCACGTCCAGCTCTTATGGTGTCGTTTTCACTAAAAACAAACTGGCAGCCATATTGTTATAGATTTATTGTCGTAAGTTAATGCTTTAACCAGCGACATTAATCTTTTGATGATATGCCAACATGTTTCGCCCGTCGACTGCAGATAGTGGAGGTGTCAACTTGTCCGGGACCACCCTGTTTCACCTTTCTTCATAACCACTATATTTTCGCCAGTTTCTGTAAATCTCTTTTTCTTACGTGTTCGTTTTCCATTCTTCTCACAATTCTAGCTGATTCTGAGGTACTTCGATATGTTCCTAAAACTGCGGGACCTCACCAGCTCCACCACCTTCCAGGTTTGTACCTTCCTTCCCCTGTAACTCGCTGGCCTCTCACCACGCGAAGGCAGCCGGGGCAATAAGCTTCTCTAACAGTTTTGCCCTCACATGTATACACCAGTCAACAGCTGCTTGTGAAATATTTGTTGCTTCCATTAGCTGACTTGTGAATCACATGTAACGTACAGTAGCTGCTCGTGAAACTTGTAAAATATCTGCCAGTTGCTTGTGAAACGAACATAACAATCATCCGCTGCTTGTGAAACATACATGACATCCATCAGCTGCTTGTGAAACATACATAACATCCATCAGCTGCTTGTGAAGCATACATAACATCCATCAGTTGCTTGTGAAACATACATAACATCCATCAGCTGCTTGTGAAACATACATAACATCCATCAGTTGCTTGTGAAACTTACATAACATCCATCAGTTGCTTGTGAAACATACATAACATCATCAGCTGCTTGTGAAACATACATAACATCCAACAGATGCTTGTGAAACATACATAACATCATCAGCTGCTTGTGAAACATTCATAACATCCATCAGCTGCTTGTGAAACATACATAACATCCATCAGCTGCTTGTGAAACATACATAACATGCATCAGCTGCGTGTGAAACATACATAACATGCATCAGCTGCTTGTGAAACATACATAACATCCATCAGCCTGCTTGTGAAACATACATAACATCATCAGCTGCTTGTGAAACATACATAACATCCATCAGCTACTTGTGAAACATACATAACATCCATCAGCTGCTTGTGAAGCAAAAATAACATCCATCAGCTGCTTGTGAAACATACATAACATCCATCAGTTGCTTGTGAAACATACATAACATCCATCAGCTGCTTGTGAAACATACATAACATCCATCAGCCTGCTTGTGAAACATACATAACATCATCAGCTGCTTGTGAAACATACATAACATCCATCAGCTGCTTGTGAAACATACATAACATCCATCAGCTGCTTGTGAAACATACATAACATCCATCAGTTGCTTGTGAAACATACATAACATCCATCAGATGCTTGTGAAACATACATAACATCCATCAGCTGCTTGTGAAGCATACATAACATCCATCAGTTGCTTGTGAAACATACATAACATCCATCAGTTGCTTGTGAAACATACATAACATCCATCAGTTGCTTGTAAAACATACATAACATCATCAGCTGCTTGTGAAACATACATAACATCATCAGCTGCTTGTGAAACATACATAACATCCATCAGTTGCTTGTAAAACATACATAACATCCATCAGCTGCTTGTGAAACATACATAACATCCATCAGTTGCTTGTGAAACATACATAACATCCATCAGTTGCTTGTGAAACATACATAACATCCATCAGTTGCTTGTGAAACATACATAACATCATCAGCTGCTTGTGAAACATACATAACATCATCAGCTGCTTGTGAAACATACATAACATCCATCAGTTGCTTGTAAAACATACATAACATCATCAGCTACTTGTGAAACATACATAACATCCATCAGTTGCTTGTGAAACATACATAACATCCATCAGTTGCTTGTGAAACATACATAACATCATCAGCTGCTTGTGAAACATACATAACATCATCAGCTGCTTGTGAAACATACATAACATCCATCAGTTGCTTGTGAAGCATACATAACATCCATCAGTTGCTTGTGAAACATACATAACATCCATCAGTTGCTTGTGAAACATACATAACATCCATCAGTTGCTTGTGAAACATACATAACATCCATCAGTTGCTTGTAAAACATACATAACATCATCAGCTGCTTGTGAAACATACATAACATCCATCAGATGCTTGTGAAACATACATAACATCCATCAGCTGCTTGTAAAACATACATAACATCCATCAGATGCTTGTGAAACATACATAACATCCATCAGTTGCTTGTGAAACATACATAACATCCATCAGCTGCTTGTGAAACATACATAACGTCCATCAGTTGCTTGTGAAACATACATAACATCCATCAGTTGCTTGTAAAACATACATAACATCCATCAGTTGCTTGTGAAACATACATAACATCCATCAGTTGCTTGTGAAACATACATAACATCCATCAGCTGCTTGTGAAACATATATAACATCCATCAGCTGCTTGTGAAGCATACATAACATCCATCAGTTGCTTGTGAAACATACATAACATCCAACAGATGCTTGTGAAACATACATAACATCATCAGCTACTTGTGAAACATACATAACATCCATGAGCTGCTTGTGAAACATTCATAACATCCATCAGCTGCTTGTGAAACATACATAACATGCATCAGCTGCTTGTGAAACATTCATAACATCCATCAGCTGCTTGTGAAATATACATAACATCCATCAGCCTGCTTGTGAAACATACATAACATGCATCAGCTGCTTGTGAAACATTCCTAACATTCATCAGCTGCTTGTGAAATATACATAACATCCATCAGCTGCTTGTGAAACATACATAACATCCATCAGCTGCTTGTGAAACATACATAACATCCATCAGCTGCTTGTGAAACATACATAACATCCATCAGCTGCTTGTGAAACATACATAACATCCCTCAGCTGCTTGTGAAACATTCATAACATCCATCAGCTGCTTGTGAAACATACATAACATCCATCAACAGCTTGTGAAACATACATAACATCCATCAGATGCTTGTGAAACATACATAACATCCATCAGCTGCTTGTGAAATATACATAACATCCATCAGCTGCTTGTGAAACATACATAACATCCATCAGATGCTTGTGAAACATACATAACATCCATCAGCTGCTTGTGAAACATACATAACATCCATCAGCTGCTTGTGAAACATACATAACATCCATCAGATGCTTGTGAAACATACACAACATCCATCAGCTGCTCGTGAAATATACATAACATCCATCAGCTGCTTGTGAAACATACATAACATCCATCAGATGCTTGTGAAACATACATAACATCCATCAGATGCTTGTGAAACATACATAACATCCATCAGCTGCTTGTGAAACATACATAACATCCATCAGCTGCTTGTGAAACATACATAACATCCATCAGATGCTTGTGAAACATACATAACATCCATCAGATGCTTGTGAAACATACATAACATCCATCAGCTGCTTGTGAAACATACACAACATACATCAGCTGCTTGTGAAACATAAACGATGATGAGTTTTGTTTGTTATTTGTAAGGCAAAATAGGTTATGTACATTACTGTGTAATATCGTGAGGGAAAGACCGGTGTTAAGCTTAAGGTTTGCTCTGTGTTTAAGAGACGAGGAGGAGCGTAGGAGGAGGCGGTAGCGTGGTATGTGTTTGTGGTGGTTCCATGACAAAACCCCAACGGACAAAACCCCAACGGGGTTGTCATTTAACAACACTAATCTAACTTAACCTAACCTCACCTAACCTAACCTCACCTAACCTAACCTCACCTAACCTAACCTCACCTAACCTAACCGAAACAAAACATAAAAGTGCTTTATTTTATATTTTATATATGAGACTGGGGTTTTGTCCCTTGGGGTTTTATCCGGTCACCGTTTGTGGTGGGCTGAGGAAACACTCCAGCACCACACCACCCAGCTCCGCCCTCCACTGTGCTGCTCGTCTGTCTTAATGCACGACGATGATGCTCGCTCTACTCTGCTCTACTTCAGAGTTCTCATACCTTCTCGGCATATAAAAATGCATGATATTTTGTGTAGACCTGCAAAAAATTAATTAAACTCTTAGTCTTTTTTTTTAATTCGTATTTGTAAGGTTAGCTACATTGTTATCTTTCACTAGTAAAGGATTGAACCTTTGTGTTGCGTGTGAAGATTTGTAATTCTCATAAGAATGCTGTAGAACTGCGCCGTCTTCTTCAATTTATTGATCTATATATTTATTTGCCTTCTGTGTAGTTGATTTTGAAAGAAAGTATTAAGTGGCGACAAAGCCAGCACAGGTCTCGCTAGTTCTTGTGAAAAACAGTAACGTTGTGCCTCACTCTACGCTGCAATTAGTTGTGACTGATGCTGTAATTAGTTGTGAGTGACGCTGTAATTAGTTGTGATTGGCTAAACTTTTTTTAATTACTTAAGAAGAGCGAGGTAAGGTGAGTACTGTAGAGAGCTATCCAATGAATACTGTGTGAGTGAGTCGACTAAGTGTGTGAACCTTCACTAACTGTGTCAGGAGAACTGAGACCCCCTGACTATGTTCTCATGAAAATTAGGATTTACCTAGACTAAGTTTCCAGAAAAACTACATTAGGACCTCCTTAGACTTGTTCTGAGTAAAAATAAGAACTTTCCCTGACACGGTGTTCTCAAGAGGACGTTTGAGTATATTAATCAGTGTCCCAGCAGTTACATGGACTGAAGGAGAGTCACAGGGGAACATCGTGGACAGGAAACTCAACGACAGTCATTATAAGGTTTTGGAGACTCCCCAAAACTACCAACTGGACTCTAGTTTGTTAAAAAGATTCTCATTTTAATAACAACTATGTGCTTTAGAGACTTCATTTTATTCTAATGTCAGATTTAAGTGTTACGCGACAAGATACTCTAATCTATCGTTTATTATTTGTTTCATCAATTTGCTACAGTAAATCTTGTCAAAACTTATCGCATCTAATTATATTTTTATCATTTATAAATTGTTTATAAATTTTCTACTTATGGTTCGATTTGTTAAGAAGTTTAGGGTATACAAAAACAATACTGACAAACGTGCTGAGTCACAACTATCAGTATGTGTTGATGGGCGATGACTGAATACAAGGACATGGTCAGGTGACTCTTACTTCAAGAGGGTCTCCGGTAACACGGGTATGTAAATAAGGTGAGGGTGACGGGCTATCTGTATAGGTATACATGAGTAGAGAGCCAGAGTTATCGTTTTCTGAGTAAGTGCTGGAGTTCAAGATCATGATTACAGTTATCTTAGCTGTTGCTGGGGAACTGTTATGATTATCTTAACTGTTGCTGGGGAACTGATATGATTATCCTAACTGTTGTTAGGGAACTGTTATGATTATCCTAACTGTTGTTAGGGAACTGTTATGATTATCCTAACTGTTGTTAGGAAACTGTTATGATTATCCTAACTGTTGTTAGGGAACTGTTATGATTATCCTAACTGTTGCTGGGGAACTGTTATGATTATCTTAGCTGTTGCTAGGGAACTGTTATGAATATCTTAGCTGTTGCTGGGGAATTTTTATGATTATCTTAGCTGTTGCTGGGGAACTGTTATGATCATCTTAGCTGTTGCTAGGGAACTGTTATGAATATCTTAGCTGTTGCTGGGGAATTTTTATGATTATCTTAGCTGTTGCTGGGGAACTGTAATTGTCATCTTAACAGGTGTAAGATTATAGGAACATGGTCATAGTTATCTCAGTAGGATCAGAAGTATGAGTAGGAAGTGAGGAGGAGGAGGAGGAGGAGGAGGAGGCAACACACCAAAATAGGGAGGTGGTCCTCATATTGACAAGACACAGTAGCAGGAAGTACCGTAGAGAACAATACAGGGTCATGTAAGCAGTGACAGAACAACACAGCACTACAGTAGTGTCGTCTCCCCACGTACTAACGCCAGCACCCATCTCCCACCCTAACAGGAGTTGGACATGAACAAGGACGGAACAGTTACTCCAGCGGAGTTTAAGGAAAAGATGGAACAGCAGAAAAACTACACCACGTGAGTTTGCTTCTGGTTGTCTCGTATTCTGGAAGAGAAATGGCGCCTCGTAGCACTCCCATTGACATATTGTAAAACAAAAAAAAACAAAAAACGCGCTAAGAGAGTGAGTAATACACAGTAGTATAGCCTATTAGGTTTTTAAAGAGTGCCGATATATTTTTGTTGATTGTTTATTTCAGAGAGGAAATCAACTTCCTGTTGATGTGTTGTGACTGTAACCACGACGGCAAGATTGACTACGTGGAGTTTACTGAGCGCTTCCACAACCCAGCCAAGGAGATCGGCTTCAACCTGGCAGTGCTGCTCACCAACTTGTCCGAGCACATGCCCAACGACCCACGTCTCGCTAGGTTCCTTGAGGTGCGGCCGTGTTGACCTTGTAACCTCTGTGTCCTCTCTTAAGAATTTAATATTTAATGAAATTATTATTATTTTTTTAATTCTTTGAACTTAATATTTATTATAGACGAGCTGGGGAACCCGGAGTTACTCGAGTTTGTTTTTGATGGCCAGCTCATTGCCTCTGTCCGTGACTACCAGCTACACTACATCCACTCTATCCCCCTTTTCCAATACACTATCAAGGAGCAAATCTCCCCCCCACCTCCTCAGTTTAGACATGATCTTAGTGAGAAGGAGGAGGTTCCTCCTTCGGAGTGCATCGCAAAATTTCAGCTGCCTATCTTCAAAACTGTAGCTGAAGTTCGTGAACACACACACATACTGTCCTATATATATATATATATATATATATATATATATATATATATATATATATATATATATATATATATATATATATATATATATATATATATATATATATATACTAAAAGGACATGAGGACTTGTCTATCTGTGAGTCTTACTGTCTGCTCCAACCATAGCTCCAATACGGAAGCAGTTAGACATCTGAAACTTTACACGTGATATTTCAAGGTTGTGCACCATGGCATTACTCTTGACCACGGACCCCCGGGTGGTCCGGGCAAGTACTAAGATATCATCACGGTAATTGGGGGGGGGGAGACAAGCTGTCAGGGAGGACAAGCTGTGATAGTCAAGGTTATACAGTACACACGTAAAGCGTGTGAAGCTGGGCAAAGGTGCGCGTGATCCAAGTATATGCTGATATATATATATATATATATATATATATATATATATATATATATATATATATATATATATGTGTGTGTATATATATTTATATATATATATATAAAGAGAGAAAGAGAACCTGGTTTGACCTGTTTATGTTCTTCTATATTTCAGACAGCGGGTTCAGTCCTCAATTACTTCGAACCATTCCTGGGTCGTATTGAAATCTTAGGCAGCTCTAAACGTATCGAACGAGTGTACTTTGAAATCAAGGAAGAAAACATTGACCAATGGGAGAAACCTCAGATTAAAGAGTCCAAGCGAGGCTTCTTCTACGCCATCGTGACAGAGGGCGACAAGGAAAAATTGGAGGCCTTCGTTAACTTCTGTGAGGACGCCATCTTTGAGATGCAGCACGCGGCGGCGCTCATGGAGGAGGAGGACGACGCACTGGCCAAGAAGATCGACGCCGATGCCCTCAAGTACCTGAGTGAAGACGAGGAGGAAAAGTGAGCCCACACACTTCCTGTTTGGCTCACAAAGAGTGTTTGCACTTTGTTAGGATAATATATAATTTTGTTAATTCTGGTTGTTGTTTAATTAATCAAGGAGTTTGTAAACTTTTCTGCACCTACAATTCTCTCCCACTTCAACGTATATCAATCACTGGCAGGACGGGCATGGACCTGATAAAAGCAAAGATCGGAGGCGTGAAGGACCATATGCTGGAGACACTATCTGTGTTGGCTCCATCTAACTTGAAGAGGAAGATAAAAGAGATCAAACAGATGACTCCCGCTGAACTGGCCGTCGGTTTCTGTCGTCTGCTGTTCCTGATGATGTATCACAGCGTCTTCGGCATCTTCTACATGTCTCGCAAGGTGTGGGGCGCCATCATGAGCCTCATGCAAGGACCGCCCGTCGAGCAGGTAGGCAGACACTCTTGCTGCCTTGTGGTGCGGACTCATAACCTCTGTCTCAACCTTATCATCTTCCTGTGATAGTGGAAGCATCTTTCATAGTTAAATATTAGTCGTATATGGATATATGTTTTTCATTGGTTTTCTCTTATCTGTGTGAATATTGACGTTTTTAATAATATATCATACTATGTGGATACCTGGCTTCTCCAGGACGGAGGGACAGGAGATCCCCGAGGCCACCCGCACCACTACCAAATTTTAATTATCTATCTTCAAAACTGTGGAAATGCATGGTAAACATACAGCCACCACAAAAAGATACCCACACACACACACACACTGTAAAATATATATATATATATATATATATATATATATATATATATATATATATATATATATATATATATATATATATAAAAACTATACAGGATGTCCCATGTACAGTATATCTCTTATATGCATTTATTTGTGTAATAAAGGTTGTTAATGAAAACCATAAGTTTATTAAATCACATTGAAGTACAAACATACATTGAAGTACAAACATGGGAGTTTTATTTTAATGTTCTCTAAACAGTTTATTGCAAGTCTAATTGTTATAAATTTTATTACTTACATGTTATCCATTACAATTGATGCACTCCCTGCAGCGTACCAGAACACTGTTCATCACTGTGTGTCATGTTGGTTAGCAGTGATGCCTTCAGTTTAGATGACTGTGTTTCAGTATACAGTACTGTACTCGTATATCACTCGGCTGTGTATCTCATATTAGTACAGTAGTAACTCACAGAGTGAGGATGAAGGCGGAGCACCTAACTCACCTGACATATACCTAGATGTTACTTTATGTACTCTTACTCCAGGCTGAGGCGAAGCAACAGAAGTCTGGCCCGCTGGTGCCTTTATCCGTCCCAGCGTTACCGGGTGTCATGGAAGGAGAGCCGCCACCACCTCCATCAGAAATTAAGCCTGAGGGAGAACAGTAAGTTGATGTTACTGAAGTACATATAATCCACAAAGGTACAATGTAAGTCATAATAGCTAAAGTTCTTAAAGAAATTTACCTCCGATATGGTTTAGTGGTAAATAGAAGTTAAAATTATTAGCAGGACCGAACACAGGAGTAGGTGATTGTCTTGTTCGTGTAGTCTGTCTGGTGTTTGGGAACTGACAGTGAAGTTAGCGCTGGAAGAGGCTAATTACCGGTATTTAAGTGTTGGTTTTCTTGGTTAAAACCACAACCATAATTACATATGTTGTGGCCTCATGGTAGATAGTATGTTGTGGCCTCATGGTAGATGTGCGTTGTGACCTCAGGGTAGATGTGTGTGTTGTGGCCTCATGGTAGATGTGTGTTGAGGCCTTATGGTAGATGTATGTGTTGTGGCCTCATGGTAGATGTATGTGTTGTGGCCTCATGGTAGATGTGTGTTGTGGCCTCATGGTAGATGTGTGTTGTGGCCTCAAGGTAGATATGTGTTGTAGCCTCAGGGTAGATATCTGTTGTGTCCTCATGAGAGATGTGTGTTGTGGCCTCAAGGAAGGTGTGTGTTGTGGCCTCATGGTAGATGTATGTGTTGTGGCCTCATGGTAGATGTGTGTTGTGGCCTCATGGTAGATGTATGTGTGGCCTCATGGTAGATGTGTGTTGTGGCCTCAAGGTAGATATGTGTTGTGGCCTCAGGGTAGATGTCTGTTGTGTCCTCATGAGAGATGTGTGTTGTGGCCTCAAGGAAGGTGTGTGTTGTGGCCTCATGGTAGATGTATGTGTTGTGGCCTCATGGTAGATGTGTGTTGTGGTCTCATGGTAGATGTATGTGTTGTGGCCTCAAGGTAGATGTGTGTTGTGGCCTCAAGGTAGATATGTGTTGTGGCCTCAGGGTAGATGTCTGTTGTGTCCTCATGAGATGTGTGTTGTGGCCTCAAGGGTGTGTGTTGTGGCCTCAAGGAAGGTGTGTGTTGTGGCCTCAAGGAAGATGTGTGTTCTGGCCTCATGGTAGAGTGTGTTGTGGCCTCAAGGAAGGTGTGTGTTGTGGCCTCATGGTAGATGTGTGTTGTGGGCTCAAGGAAGGTGTGTGTTGTGGCCTCAAGGAAGGTGTGTGTTCTGACCTCATGGTGGAAGTGCGTTGTGGCCTCAAGGAAGGTGTATGTTGTGGCCTCATGGTAGAAGTTTGTTGTGGCCTCAAGGAAGGTGTGTGTTGTGGCCTCAAGGAAGGTGTGTGTTGTGGCCTCATGGTAGATGTGTGTTGTGGCCTCAAGGAAGGTGTGTGTTCTGACCTCATGGTAGAAGTGTGTTGTGGCCTCAAGGAAGGTGTGTGTTGTGGCCTCAAGGAAGGTGTGTGTTCTGACCTCATGGTGGAAGTGCGTTGTGGCCTCAAGGAAGGTGTATGTTGTGGCCTCATGGTAGAAGTTTGTTGTGGCCTCAAGGAAGGTGTGTGTTGTGGCCTCAAGGAAGGTGTGTGTTGTGGCCTCATGGTAGATGTGTGTGTTGTAGAAGGCAGAACAATCGTGGCCTCTTGAGTAGGTCTCCAGGTAAGTGAAGGGATTGTCACCTGCCTCACACAACGAAATAACACGTGTTTAGAGGTACAGTACAACAAGACCTCCACTACTTACCGGCATTTTAAAACATCATTGATATTCTTAAGGAGTAAGAAAAAAAAGAACAAATTCACCAGATTTTTATTTCGTATAACTGGTAGACGAATTCCTATATGAGATAATTTACATATTGATAATTGAATCTCTATTAGGTAGTGGGATATATACTATTGGTAGTTATTGAGCTTTGTTCTTAACCCGATGATAGCTACGAGGATCTTGTCAGTGGAAGCACTCAGGGGGTTAAAAGGTAGTAAATACAGGTAAATACAATGACTTATTTATTCTCCATTAAGGTACCTATTACCCATAACAGTTTCTGTACCATCAGCGTGGAAAATAGTAATAGACTGAAAAATTGTTTGTGTGAAGGCTATATGGAACAGTATTATGGAACATAATCAAACTTTCATACCTTGGCTTTCGAGAACTAGTGATAACGTGCCACACAATCTGGAGTATTGTCAACACCTACGAGGTAACTCGCCCTTGTGCTTTACTCAATGTTGTTCACCTCTACATAGTTATCTTCTAACACTCTCACTATACTTCTGGTTAAACCAATGGCTTGCCACCTTTGTAAAATGTTGTCATTCAGTCGTGCATCAAGAACAGGTCTCCCATGCACTGTACTTCTTTTTTCCTGTTCCATGTTCAGTTAATTTTCATTATTTTAGCCACATAAAATTACTAACTAAACCCAAGATACTCGGGTTTACCTTAAGTAGTGTTGAGGTTAAAGTGTTGCTTACTTCACTCAACCTCATCACGTACCACTGTCTCTTTCCAGACTCTCGCTGGAGGCCAAGCCAGAAGACACCTTGGATGAGGAGAAGATGAAGCCCATGCTGGATGCTCTGGCCGAACTCAAGGACGACATCACCCCAGAGCAGGCCATTGCTGCTGTCAAGTAGGTGGCCGAGAGGCTCTATGTTGCCATTCGTAGGAGCCAACACGTCCGTCTTGTCTGTACCTATGAGTTGTGCACCGTTATAGTAGACAGGTGTACTGTAGAAACTTTTTTTTTCAGCTTTTCATATTACTGTCCGTGCTGGGATCCTCAGCTTATTGGCTGCAAAGATATTTTATAATGCTTTTGATCTGTGTTGTTGTGTTGGTTGTAGGTAGTTTACTGTATACTGCTGTCTACTGCCCTGTACTTCATGTCTTTCACTGTATAATGATGAACAGAGAAGAGACTCCACTGCTATTACGTAACTGAAAGTTTATGATAGATGAGTCACGTCTAATGTTCAGGTCATTAATTGGTGGACGAGGATAATGTTTATGTTTACTGCGTCACATGACGAGAGAAGGAGGGACGAGACTTAAGTGATGATACATTGTTGGAAGATGAGAGAATTTTATTTGTGTGAATGTTGTCTGACTGAAGGAAAAACGAGAAATTAAGGAAAAAAAATAATGAAAGGGGTTAATAGACAAGTGAATAAGAAACATACTGACAGGTTAAATGGAACTGAGGCCACGGTAGGACGCCACCCTCCGGGAGGCTCCACATTGTCTCACTGTAGTGCATTAAGGTAGACCACATTTTGGGTTTTGTCATTAGGAGCAAGTATGTACAGATTTTTGCCAGTTCCCACTCTGGAGCATCCAACATATAACTGTCCATGAGAGAAGCAAGGAAACACCAGGTTTAGGCCAACCATCTTTAGGGACTGTCCCTGGCTTTTGTAGATGGTCATGGCAAAGCCCACTTTAAACGGGAACTGAAGTCGCTTGAACTCAAATGGCAGGTTAGTGGTGATGAGGTGGTATCCTTGGTATAAAAACGGCCTCTCCTTTAGCTTTTCCTGTCAGTATTGTAGCTTCCAGTACATGTGGCATCATGTTCTTCACCACCAGTCTTGTGCCATTGCAGAGGATTGGTGGTTCAAGATTTCTTAAGAGCATTATAGGAGTTCCAATCTTGAGAGTGAGGTGGTGAGGAGGCATTCCAGCGAGCTCCAAAGAATTAAGGAATTCTGCAGGGTACTGGACTGCTTGGTCCTGGTCGATTACTATATCAACAGATTTGAATGAGGTCTCACTGCCTGGAAGCTGTCCTGAGCAGAGTCATGTTGATTTCAGCCACTGTTTCATTCTTTGGTGCCAGAATTGCGCGTTCACGCAGCCATTTGTGATCCTTGTAGTGGTGGATAATGTTTGGGTAGACCATGTTAGTGAGCTCAGTTGAGGACTTTACAACATTTCCCCATCCTTGAGGAATGATTATTTGTCCTTCTGAATCAACAGGGAAAGTTCCATTCCCAATCTGTAATAGAAGGTTTGCAAACCGTCCAGCATCCTGATTCTCCTTGTAGATGTACTCTCATATTTGTGGGTAGGGTGAGTGTCTGAACACTTCTCCAAAGGTATGATGCCTTGAGGCACGCATTCAGTTCATCAGCTGGAGTGCTTCAAGGAATGACAGGTAGGGTCTGGCGAAAGTCTCCAGCAATGACCATTGTAATGCCACCCATGAGCTGGTCTTTTTCTCTTATGTCTTGCAAGGTCCTGTCCAATGCTTCAAACGCTAACTTGTGAGACATAGTGCATTCATCCCAGACTATGAGGCTGGATTTTTCTAAGAGTTTTGCCTTTGCCGATCCTTTTTTGATGTTGCACACTGGATTCTCATTGTGAGCGAGGTTGAGAGGCAGTTTAAAAGTTGAGTGTGCAGTATGTCCTCCTTCTAGTAGTGTTGCAGCAATGCCTGAGGATACCACAGCAAGAGCAATTTTCCCCTGATGACGTACTTTGGCCAACAGAAGGTTGATCAGGAATGTTTTTCCTGGCCCGCCAGGTGCATCGAGAAAGATCATACCTCCCTGCTCCGCTTGTATCGCTTGCAAGATCTGTTCATAAGCATTCGCTTGATCAGGCACCAGGTGAGGCTCATTTTCTTCAAGAAAATTCACCAGAACTTCAACTGAGTAGTCTGTCTTTCTAAGCAACTCCCTGTTTGCAACTACTGTTCAGTCCCCAAAACTTCTTCTTCCATCAATAGTTCATTAACGGTGTATGTAAGTTCCACTTCAACGGTACAGCAAAGTATATTTTTTTAGCATTAAACTGTTATTATTTTATTTTCTAATCATTACTACATATAACACCACCCATCATCGCTACATATAATATCCATCATCACTACAGATCGGTAAAGTAGTTTCCGAGATTCTCGTGCGGACATACATACAAACAAACAAACACAGACATACTTCTTTGTTATATATATATATATATATATATATATATATATATATATATATATATATATATATATATATATATATATATATATATATATATATATATATATATATATATATTATTTATTTAATTATTTATTTATTTTTTATTTTTTTAACTTTACCAGATGGTTGAGTCACTGCACTTTGTTGATAATATTGTAGCGAGGCACTGAAGCGTGTTGATAACGTTGCAGTGTCTCTGCTTTGTTGACAATGATGCAGTGAGTTACTATAGCCGCAATATGTTCACTACTTGTGATGTGTTGGTTTGGATGTTGAGTAAGCGATGTGTAGATTAACCTTGACACCCGCTTCTAGTAGTGACTCGCTTATGTAGTGCTTCATGACTCATGCTACTGCTGCTGCTGTTTGTTTCACAAGGTCACTAATGTATCCTGATTTTTCTTTGCTGTTGCCTCAGGACTGCAGGAGACGCCGGGGAATTAGACTATGCGTTAGTACATGTTTATTTTACATACATTACCCAACTCCAGTTCCTGTAACAGCATGTCTTCCCCCGCTGTTTACTTTTGTCAGTGTATCTGTATATGTCTTACTCCCGCGTTCGTTGGTTGATTTCTCAGCTGCCTGCATGTTGAGGCTGAGGGTTCATGGTGTTCAAGATATGCTTTTGTTTACTGATGTTTTAACTACAATTACCAACGCCCCGGCATCTAACACCGTAAGTAAAAATTTTCCTCCAAGGTGTGAGTAAGATATTTCATAATTTGAAATTGAAACACAAACAAGACGAAACTGTGTTAAAATCATACATCCCTCCTTATATACTAAATATTTAAACCCCTATAATTACTTGAACATAATGGGCTGTTACAATTTTAAAGACAGAATATTTCCCCCACACTAATACTGGACGGAGTGTCACTGTTTGCAGAGGTAAGTGACTGAGGCAGTGAGTTCCTGTACCTTTACGCACCAGTCAGTGGTCGCCTCGTCACTGGCTCAAGTTGAGCTGTCTCTATCAGTAAACCACATTCATGATGTATATGTTAATACTATATAGCGATTTCTTTTTTTCTTATCTTCACTGCCTAAGTAGTAAGTACTCTGAGAAATGGTTTGTTGTGATGAGTCATGACACAGAGGAAGAGGAGCGGCTGATACTAACCATGTGTTTGACCACCACAGAGCTGCTGAGAAGAAGGCCGTGGAGGCTGCCCAGCAGGAGGCCATGGCGGAGGCCGAGGTGCAGCCTTCAGCCGCCGCTGCTGAACCTCCCCCAGTTGCCCAGGTGAGGTGACCTGACCACCACCTCCTTTGGATCAGTAGTTACTGTTATAATATAGGCTCATTACTATGGCTTTCAGAAACTTTAAATATCGAACAACCTTTATAAGTAGAGTCAGAGACCATTTGCATTTTTTATCGTTTATGGATCAGTTGAAGATTAGTCTCACGTAGCGTCATGATGGTAAAACTATAGGTGGGATAGCCTAGGGGGATAGTTTCGTGTGGCTACTTAGGTCCACCGTCACCACTTACTGTGGCGACTTTTCCGGTAAGTTATTATATAAAAAAGAGACATGCTTCCTTATTATTAAGTCAGAAAACAGTAGCACCATTGTGTGCAATACCTTCCTGACTGTGGTTCAATTTTTGCTGTGTGAGGGAACATTGCCATACATTAATTAGCTTAACATGAATCTCTAAAGCATGACATGAATTCTGAAAGTTGTCATAATCAGATGAGCTGGACGAAGCGATCCAAGAGTAATGACAACTTTGTATAGAAGTGTTAGCCCGAAGAATGCCAGAAGTATAAATTCACAGCTTCCATTTAGATTGGACCTTATTCCATGTGTCACTTCAGAAAAGAGTTTATGCAATATAAATTGTGGAGTGAACACATAGGTGAAACATGCAGTCATGTAAACAGCCGTAGCTTTTTTTCAAGAAGTGTGCACGAGGCATTATCAAGCACACTCAATCCAACTCGTTAGTCCTGGGATTATCGTGAAAAATAGACGAAACTTTCTTTTTTCATAAACTGAAGCATCACCGGGGACGAGCACACCACTCTCCTGTGTAGCTCTTCACTACCGTCAACTGGCTACCTGGAAATAGTCCAGGCAAGAGATGCTGCCCCCCTTCTTTCTATTATGTAAGGAGTAGTTTAGCTGAGATCCATCATTTATGGTAATGAGTGCAAGTGCATTCTTTTACGTTAGGTTGGTTAAACTTCAGTTAGTATAAGCTGTTGGTAGATGGTTCCCTGCAGACACTCTTCCCCATCAGCTCAGTACCAGTCAGGTTGACTGATTCCTCGTCACCACCAGCCTAGCATGACTGACTGGTTCTGTATTGTGTATATTTTGTGTGTATGTGTAGACAGCTCTTTGGCTATATGGAATATGCAGACTACAGTAGATAAGAACAAAAGATATCCAGCTTCATCGAGACGCGGGAACAGTTTTTCATATCCAAATGATGCGAAAAGAAAGTGAGGCAAAAATTTATTTAAACTTTATATTTTATGTTTACACACGCTTGTAATTAGTAATTTCGGCTCAGCTGAGGGGAAGGTGATCACAAAGGGGTTAGGTTAGGGCATGGCCGAATGGTTCTCCCCCTATATACCCAACTGTACTGTTGTCCATCCACCTCGGCCTCGTCAGCAGCAGTAGGGGCGGGGCTATGCAATCCAGCACGTGTTTATTCCCGCCACCGTATTCAGGCGTACCTGTACTATGGCATACTTCTTCCTCTGGTAACAGCTAAATAGGAATAATCACCGATTAAGTTTTAAAAAGGCAAATGTGTTTTTGCCAAATCTGGATAATTTTTTATTGTAATAAGTAGATGAAATTTGCTCTGTTTTATGAAAGACGTCGTTTACTGACATACAATAACCAATTTATACATAAAGTAGGTTAGGTTAGGTTTTATATGAAGCCATTCAATTATATGTATTTCTCTGATCTGTGTTATCGCTTTTGGCCAGCCATAAGTTTATAAAATAGAAATGCATAGAAGTTATCGCTAATTGACAATTATCACTATTTAGTGACCAAGGCGCAAGGTATCACTTTCTCCATAATTCAATCACCACAGGCCGATAGTCACGCCACCGTAGTCCTGGGTGTGTGTACCAAAACTCCCTCCCTTACCATTGGTTGATAGTGACGGCGATCACTGATGAAGGTGATGCTGTTACTTTGTGGTCATGTCATGATGATGATCTGTTGAATCATCCTGGTGTTAAGTACAATATGACATAATATAATTACATAAGGTACCTACCATCTAACACATGGCGTTTTTCCTTACATGCCGCTCATTAGGACTCCTCTGCCCCCAGCCCTGAACCTGTCCCGCCCTCCTCACCACACACCCTTCCCACCACACCCAGTACCTCTGTCACGTCACCACATCACTCTCCTCCACTGTTTAGCTCTCCATCTCGCCCCGGTCCCCCCCATCAACCCACCTCTATCTTCCTATCTCGCTCCACACATCCTACCATCCCTGAGGACAGTATCTTCTCCACATGTACGATAGACGCCACCATAGACACGTCTACCTCCACTGGTATCTTCAGCTCGAGTACTTCCCCAGGTGACGAAACAATAGGAGTGAGGAAGAGCGTGACGTTACCTTCACTGCGTCATGACCCAGCGAGGGGCGTCACTCACTCTCTCAGTCACCAGTCCTCACTCCAACACCACCACACTCAACAACACTCTTCTCTAATTTCTAGTCCATTGTCCTCTCATCTCTCATCCTCATTATCTCTCTCATCTAAGTCAATACCATTTACGTCCGTACCCACGACGACTGAAACAGACAAACACCGCAGCTTACAGCACACTCCCACAAAACCTAAGGCTGCCTCTAGAACAAGACATTCCACTTCTCCATCATCAGTGCCGTCCCTCTCAAGCCCTCCTTCAGGTCTAGAAACAACGTTCAAATCAACACCCACCAGTTTATGCCAAGCAACTCTCGTCTCGATTGTCGCGGCAGCGGAGTCATCAGGAGATGCACTACAACAGACCACCCCACTTAGCTCTCCTTCCGCTCTGCAGCCATCATCGACTGTTTCTGATGAATCATTGCATTCCCGTCTTGTTTGTAGTCAAAGAGCTTCCTCCCCAACACAGATCACTCACTCCCAGTCGGCGCCAGGAGTGTCACTTGGTCATTTATCGGACCCGTCACCGCCTCCGTCATCACACTCCTTCACAGTCTTGACAACCTCCGATCAGTCTCTAACAACTTCAATACAACTCAGAGAAACTTCACCTACCTGTACTTTACGGAGACGTGTCATCTCACAGGTTGACCAAGAAGCACATGCGTCTTCTTCTCTCCCACTTCCTTCATCACAAGCTTCCACCTCCCAGTTAGTCAGTTTTTCCTCTGAACCACCACTTAGTGACACTGTGGATACAGAAAATGAACATATACTGACTATCTCTCTTCCCGAAACCTTACAAGCCACCGACCCACAACTTACTGCACTTAGAGTAACGTCACCTGAGTCTCTATTAGTAGAGTCATCACTCTTACATCCCTTCCAGAGTTCTCTCGCTGAACACAGCCTCTACGGACACTCACTGCTGCACCCAGACCCATCACTTCTTCACCCGTCACATATTGACCCATCACAGCTGACTCCCTCCCCACCCTCCCCCACACAACCTCATCCCTCAGACGCTACCCCAGCTCGACCCCCAACCCCAACATTTCCTGCGGGTACTTATACCCCTCCCAGCTCTGGGGTGCTGCAGAGGATTGTTAATCTCATGGTAAGGTGAAACTAGGTTAAGAAATTATAGTTTGTTCCCATTGTTTACTTATGTCATAAACATTCAAATGGAGACACTTATGTTAGTTCACTATTATAGGCAAGAATATTATACGTCATCTCCCTAAACCTATTTGGTTCATTACAGGATAAAGTGATACCATAATTATTTTTTCACGCAGGAAGCAGCATAAACCCTGTGTATTAACTAAACTTTATCTTGGAGTGAGTTGAGTGAGACTATGGTGAGATAAGACAGACAGGACTTAGTGAGTCACTCTCCCTCAGGTGGACTTAAGCAGCTACAACAAGCGGATTGTCAGCTTCCTGGCGAGGAACTTCTACAACCTCAAATACGCGGCTCTCGTGCTTGCCTTCTGCATCAACTTCATCTTGCTCTTCTTTAAGGTAAGTCAACACAAAGCTAGTGACTTGCAGCAATTCTTCAATATGTACATGCTGGTGTGAAAAAGTTATATATTCAGTGATATTAATATAAAACTATGGCAGCCGTTTTAACATAGTTTTATTTGCATATACGTTTCACGCGCACCTAGGCATCGAAGGTATGTTACAGGAGTGTCATCAGCCATAGGAGTTCATTATTGTTAAAAGTTTCCCTCAGTGAATTTTGAGTAAACACAAGTTAGTCACCATTTTAATCCTGAAAGAACATTCACAAAAACATTTAATTAACATCACCGTCTATGTTATAGACTGTACATTACCCAGTTCTCTCACTTAATGCTTCAGTGTGATGTGACATTATGATATTCTGAAGTTGTTTGGGTTAAGAAAATGTAAATTATGTAAACAGCTTACCTTAGTGAGCTGCTTCATATTGATAAGACTCGAGCAACACAACCAAGGCTAATTCGCTCTATGTTGTCTGTGAGCCTTTGTAATTGATAATCTTATACTCTACTATGATGTATAGTACTTAACTTTTCTGTCACAACCACCTGTAGGCCTCAGCTCTGGCTGGCGAGGAGGAGGAAGAGGAAGAGGTGGTAGTTCACAATCCCTTCGCCTTTGGCTCTGGTGACCTGCTGGGGTCTGGTGACGGGGCGGTGCTGGGTGACGACGCGGAAGAACTTGGCTCTGGCAACTTTACTCTCGGCGAGGATGACGGCGATGACGACGACGAAGACGAGGACGAAGAGGTGAGTTGTATTCTTGGTGAACTGTCGAAGTTAAGAACTGTGAAGATCAGTAATAGTAAAAGCTTAAGTGCGTTCAGTAAATTCATACGTACTAAATACATTTTTCCACTATTGAAATTTTATCCATTATGGCTATTGGTCTCAGTACATTTTACATAAGAGAAAAATTTTACAGGCATTGAACAATAGACTCAAACACTCGTGAATACAATGGTTGTACTATAACATAGCCGTCGTGGTGTCCGTGTGTTGAATCTCACTCTCATGTCTCCTCAGGCTGAAGAATGGATCCACATGGACGACCGCTACTTCTACCTGGCCCACGTCATCCGTCTCTTCTCCGTCACCCACAGCATCGTCGCTCTTTGCATGTTGCTTGCTTATTACCACCTCAAGGTTAGCACGTTAATCACCTTGAATACGATGATGTGACCCATTGATTACGATACCATGTTACCTTATTTTCGTGTACTAGGCAGGTCAGTTTTCTACACTCGGCTGGTTTTGTGTTGTTGCAGATTCCGCTGGTGATCTTCAAGCGTGAGAAGGATGTTGCTCGTCGCCTCGAGTTTGACGGCGTCTACGTGGCTGAACAGCCCGAGGACGACGACATCAAAGCTCATTGGGACAAGCTGGTCATCTCTGCTAAGTAAGTCTCCACCCTTTAAAAAATTGGTGTATTTGTCCACGATTACACCCAAGATATTAACATTGCTGCTTGATTAGCACTTCATAATTCAAAGTTAATGAATATAAACTTTCACACTAAACACTATTGCTCGAGAACTGTGAAGGCGATGTATATCACTTGTATAGTGTACATGTTTATTAATAATTTGTGTGTGATCCTTGGTGAAAGTTTATATATACATTTTTACTCAATATAAATCAATATCGACGGGGCGTCATGTTGTGGTTGTGTCCTGCAGGAGCTTCCCCAACAACTACTGGGACAAGTTCGTCAAGAAGAAGGTGCGTCAAAAGTACAGCGAGACTTATGACTTCGACGCCATCTCCAACCTGCTGGGGATGGAGACAACGATGAGTTTCAAGCAGGAGGAGGCGTCTACAGGCATCCTTGGCTAGTGAGTACTGCCTCATCTCATTTTCTCTCTCTCTGGCTCCTCTCTCACCTCTCCCTGCCGCATGTTGTTGATTTCCCTCACCCCCCCCCCCAAGGCTCATCTCTCTCTCTCTCTCGGACACATGATTCATAACCCCTGACTTCACTCACTTTCTCTCACTGGCTCCTTTCTATATCTATAACTTTCTCTCCCTGGCTCCTTTCTTTATCTTTAACTTCCTCTCCCTGGCTCCTCTCACTTTCTCTTATTGGCTCTTCCCTGACCTTTCTCCCCGACTTTTGCGCTTTATAATTTTTCAAAAGAATTTAAACTTAGGCAGTTATTAACCATTTGTGTGTGTGTGTGTGTGTGTGTGTGTGTGTGTGTGTGTGTGTGTGTGTGTGTGTGTGTGTGTGTGTGTGTGTGTGTGTGTGTGTGTGTGTGTGTGTGTGTGTGTGTGTGCGCGCGTGCGTGTGTGTGCGTACGTGCATGCGTCGTGTGTGCGTGTGTGTGCGTGCTTTTGTGTGTGTGTGTTGGCGTGCGTGCGTGCGTGCATGTGTGTGTCTGTGTGTGTGTGTGTCATATACATGTCTGTTTAGATCCTGTTGTAAACCTCACTTTTTTCTACCATTTCAGCATAACTTCAGTAGACTGGAGGTACCAAGTGTGGAAGGCTGGAGTCACTGTCACAGATAATGTATGTTTTATCAGTACCTTAGCATTATGATCATTGTCACTTATATTATCATCATCTGTATTGGTTTTTTTATTTCTATATTGTTGTATCTCCATAAATATGACTTAAGTGCTTCTTATCAACATTATTCTGGCTTTATTTCCTCCCTGTTGTGTTACCAGAAATATTTTTTAACTGCATATTATATTAGTAAAATTAAAGTGATTTTCTTTGTTTGGTGTTGTGGTCATACTAAAAAGATACTTCTCTCCCGAGAGAGAGAGAGAGAGGTACTCCTTAATAGTACGTTGGTTAAAGATCTGGGGTCAAAATGTTGCAAATATGGCAATTCTTTCTTGTAACGACATGTGGAACATTTAATTCGTTTTGCAATCCGAATTTCTCATTACTTGTATTTTTTGTATACTGATATTTGGTGTATTTTTTCTATTTTTCTGGGTTACTAAAGACGTTTTTTTCCAATACCTAGAAAATATGTTTCGGCCTAACAATCACCAAGAAGTTAAATTGTTTAGTGACATGCTTTTGACGTAAATAATTTAATGCAGAGTTTTATGACCGCAATTGATATAATGTAGTCGGAGGATGTTTGAGTATGACTTAAGAATTGTCAAAATTTTCAAGCATACACACGATATGGATAGACAGATATATGAGAGAAAGAGAGAGTGCAAGAGATGACTTAAAAGCTGTATGTCACCTCCTCAGCAATTCCTGTACAACCTGTGGTACTTGACCTTCTCTGTGCTGGGCAACATCAATTACTTCTTCTTCGCCGCTCACCTGCTGGATGTGGCTGTCTCCATCCCCTCGCTCAAGACCATCCTTCAGTCCGTCACCCACAATGGCAAACAGGTGTGTTCCTCGTCTTCAGTTTATTTCACCAATGGAAAATATGTAGACATAATTAAAATACATACATCTCAATTAAAGATTATCAACGGGAACTTTATTCGGATAAAGAAATGAGTTACTGACCTTTATCAACTAAGAGAAGTACAACCCTCTTGTTTCACTTGAAGTTACTTGTTGAGTTACTTGTAGCCTTAGTTTTTGGGTTTGCTGGATTGTAACTTTAAATTATATTTCTCCATTACCTTACAGTTGATCTTGACTTGCATGCTGCTGACAATCATCGTCTACTGCTACACTGTCATCGCCTTTAACTTCTTCAGGAAGTTTTATGTCTCTGAGGAAGATGATGTTGTCGACCAGAAGTGTCACGACATGCTTACGGTCAGTGCTGTACCCCTGCCAAGCTGTCACTGAGAAATCGAGAAAAAAATTGATAGATAGATAGATAGATAGATTGATAAAGATTCATTAAAATCATCATGCAAGTTCAGAGAGTTTCATCATGTAAGCCCAAGAACCCCCAACAAAGCTGTTTTCATAAAAAAAAATACTTGCATACAGTGCATTAATGTGGGTGTGGCATAATTCTACATGCAAAACTTCTGCTCTAAGATGAAGGAAACAATAAGGTGTATTCGAGTAAACAAATATCATGAAACGAAACATCTGTATAGTAGTTGGCAACCTTTCCTGTACCAACAAAGCTGGCAGAAGTTAGATTAAACTAGTGTCAAAGGGTGTGGTAATGTTACGGCTAAGCTTAACTATTTTTAAATCCTCGAATTATAGTTTTAAACAAAAGTTACATGGTAATGATTGAGAGATGTTTTGAAAAGAAAGAATGAAATGGAACAAGACTTATGAAAGAAGGGAATCGGAATAAGAGTTAGGTGAATAAACTATTTCAAGAAGAACAAGGAGGACTGAAAAGAAATTTGGAAATGGAAAACCTAGCGGCGTTCTCCACACAAAAAATACTACAATAATATATACTGTACTAACTTGTCTCAAAACGATCGACCGAGCACACTTGTCTCGGAGAAACCACAATTAGAGGAATTAAAAATTAACATGACACTTTTAAAACAAGAAAATTGGTGCAAGAAAGTCCTATATCATTATTCCTGTTAATCAGCTGTGTAATTAATTTTATATTATGTTTTGTCATGTAAATCTTTTGACTTTCTGTATTATTCCTGGAGTATTGTAACATCGCTCCAAAATGCATCTTTCCGGAGGGGTCCGATAAATTTTAAAATTAACACCGCGACTCTTGTTGTCTCGGTAAGGCTGTCAAAATCCTTTCCCCGTTGTGTCATATTGTCTTACACAAAATCGTAAAGATATTTTTGGGTAGTTATCACAGAAATTAATGTACAGCTTAAAAGGGAATGAAGTAAGAGGTTTTTATGTACTTGCAGTGCTTCGTGTTCCACCTGTATAAAGGCGTTCGAGCTGGTGGTGGTATTGGTGACGAGATCGAGGCGCCAGACGGTGACGAGTACGAACTTTATCGCATCATCTTCGACATCACATTCTTCTTCTTTATTATCGTCATTCTGTTGGCTATCATTCAGGGTAGGTCAAACTTCCATCATTGAACATTCTTGGGAGTTGAATTAATGCTGTGTTTACTTCCTCTTGTTTACCTCACCTATTTTTGTGAGATATAATGTTTTTGGTTACAATATGATGATGTTGTCTTATGAGTATTATTTTTTCCTTGTATTTATCCAAATGTCATAAAAATACACATTCTTCTAACATCACCTAGACACCTTAATTCCTCACATGATGCAGCAGGGTGGTCAGAATCATCATACTGTAGACTACCATTCATCTATGCAATTAAATTGTTTTCCTTTCTGCTGTAATATATTATCCTGCGACACTGATGACTAAGGCAACTTTGACATCACACTCGGGAGCCTCAGAAAGCATGTTGTATCCCCTCACAGGTCTGATCATCGATGCTTTTGGTGAACTGAGAGATCAATTGGAGTCTGTAAAGGAGAACCTCGAGAGTAACTGCTTCATATGTGGTATGGGCAGCGACTACTTCGACGCGGTGCCGCACGGCTTTGATATGCATGTATTAAAGGAGCATAATTTAGCCAACTACATGTAAGTATAATAAATCTTAACTTAGAATGAATGTACTTGTGTGGACGCAACGATGCAAAAGATTTGGTAAAAGAGAAAGGTAGTTTTGAAGAGTAACATTAACTAAGTCAGTGATAAATAATTTTTTTTATTAACAGTGTAATAAAATGGGGGAAAATATTTTCATTACATAGCGATTTTTTTTATCTCTGAAGATGTTATGAATAAAGACGAAAGCTAAGGTGCTGCAGTGTTCCCCTTTCCTGTGTGTCTTATCAATATACTGTATATATATATATATATATATATATATATATATATATATATATATATATATATATATATATATATATATATATATATATATATATTGTTACGAGTTGGGGATTTAGAACATAGTTAAAAGTCTACCCAGATCCCAACGGGCAACAACAATAAAAAAACTTAAACAAACAAAGACAATCCGACTATAAAAGGGTAGACAAAGGATGCGAGTTTTTGTTGTGTATAATAAAGTGCACTAAATTCCTCAACAAAATATCCAGCTTCCTATAAATTACCCTTAACCATACTTAGCTTAAACATACGCAACATTGGCTTAACAGTATATACATATTTATACAACATACAACAATCTGAAGCAAGTGGAGGTGGGAGGCAATATAGGATTACAAATACTCAAGTGCGGTGCTGAGGTGTCTGACGAGTAAGGCTGAGTATTGAAGATGGTAGGTAGTCACTCTCCTCGATCCGGAGCTGATGAGGAAGAGTTGGAGGAGGTGACGCAACAACCAGGATATGGAGAAGGGAAACCCGAAGTGGTGACTAAGACTAGTCATACTCGGGTCGCGTCCCTAGATGGCGTTGCTCGTGGTGCTGGGTAGGTAGATCATGACACAATAGATGGCGTGGTTCGTAACACACCCCCCCCCCCTCCAAAGACCTCCGTAGCGCGGGCGCGAAGGAGGTGATTACCTGGTGAGTCTGGAGAGTAGCTGCTGCATTTCCACTGGAGCTCGGGATAAGGAGTCCGCAATCAGGTTGCCCACACCCTTTATGTGCCGGACTTGTAGATGAATTATAGGGCTGGGTGAGGAGAGCCCAGCAGAGGATTCGCTGGTTGGAGGTCTTGTTGGTTTGGATGAACGTGAGCGGGTTATGGTCGGTGAAGACTAGGGTGGTTTGTGGGCGAGATTGGAGGTAACATTCAAACTTCTTTATTGCCAACACCAGAGTCAGGGCCTCCTTCTCTATGGTCCAGTAGTTATTCTGATGCTTTTTCAACTTGGCGGAGTAGTATGCCACAGGGTGAAGGACATCAGTGGTTGGGTCGGGTTGTAAGAGCACAGCCCCCACTCCGACACCGCTAGCGTCAATTTGCAGATGGAAGGGCAAGGTGAAGTCAGGGGGGTGGACTACAGGCTACAGTTTTATATATATATATAACTTGTCTGCAGTGATATATGAATATTTTGTTTTTGTTTGCCGTAAGGTATCGTAATTTTACCTTTAGTTTACTCATTTACTTATTCTATTATGTTTGTTAAAAAATATTCGTGTGTGAAATTTACTTGCACCAAATGCCTTTCAATAATTTATTTTATTCTAAGGGAGGAAACACCCAGGTAATGACACGGGGGGAACACTCAGGTAATGACACGGGAGGAAACACTCAGGTAATGACACGGGAGGAAACACTCAGGTAATGACACGGGAGGAAACCCTCAGGTAAATGACACGGGAAGAAACACTTAAGTAACGACACGGGAGGAAACACCCAGGTAATGACACGGGGGGAAACACTCAGGTAATGACACGGGAGGAAACACTCAGGTAATGACACGGGAGGAAACACTCAGGTAATGACACGGGAGGAAACCCTCAGGTAAATGACACGGGAAGAAAACACTTAAAGTAACGACACAGGAGGAAACCCTCAGGTAATGACACGGAAGAAACACTTAGTGTGTAATGACATGGGAGGAAGCCCTCAGGTGATAAATGACACGGGAGGAAACACTTAAGTAGTGACATGGGGCTGCTCACATGGCGGCACAGGGAGAAACACTCAGGTCATGACACGGGAGAAACCTCAGGTAATGTGCAGGAGAGAAACCTCCAGGTCATGACCGGGAGAAACACTCAGGAGTAATGACACAGGAGGAAACACTTAGAAATGTGACACGGGGCAACCCAGGTAATGACACGAGAAACACCCAGGTAATGACACGGGAGGAAATCTGCAATTAATAACTTCTCATCCTCCACCAGGTTCTTCTTAATGCATCTGATTAACAAAGACGACACGGAGTACACGGGGCAGGAGACGTACGTGTGGAATATGTACCAGCAGCGGTGTTGGGACTTCTTTCCTGTCGGCGACTGCTTCAGGAAACAGTACGAGGAGGAGCTGTCTGGCGGAGGTTCTGCCAGCTGAGCTACTATGCGCTCTCCTCTCCTCCATTAATATATATATATGTAACTGCTTCCAGTTCACCTGTATGTGTGTGAATAATATCTCGTTATTAAAAAAATAAACAATCTCTATGGATGGGATAGGTCAAGTGGGTCAGAGTATATAGTTAAAGGATAACTTGTTTGCAGTACCAGATTAAAACAGTGATGGTGCTCCATGTTGTACAGTGACCACTTTTCTGGAGCTTTTCTGTTCTATACACAATGTTCATGTTTTGTTATTTTCCGAGCTGTCAATGATAATTGAGTGTGTTCCTCTGTCTCCTTTGTGGACTATCTACTCACTTCTGTCACCACTGTGGTGACTATGTATTCATGTTAGTTACCACTGTGGTGACTATATATACATATGGGTATCATTCTTATGATGAGGACAATATCACTCATGTTTTTCCTCAGCCTCATTTGTACTATGCAGTCGAACTCATAAATACGATAATCAGCGGAGGAAGTCACAGGTGAGTTGAATTTTCCAAAAGAACTAACAGATATCATAAACAGCGTTTATATCTCAGAAGAAACTGGTTCACATGAGCATTAGAGAACTTTTGTGAAAATAAAAGAAAGTTGAAAATTCTCTTCTCAGTTTTTCTATTATTGCTAATTTATTTTAGGAGATTAGTCAAGCAGTCTAGAGCAGGGGTGATATATATATATATATATATATATATATATATATATATATATATATATATATATATATATATATATACAGTATATCTGTATATATATATATACAGTAAATCTGTGTATGTATATATATGTATATATATATATATATATATATATATATATATATATATATATATATATATGAACACCTAAATGCTATATAAAAAATATGAAATTATTGTTATTGTGATGAAAGAAGGCAATAATATATGTTGTTGGTCAGCCTAGCTCGACATCAGTGTTCAGTGAGACATTAGTTACTGTGACAGAGGCTGATTGTAATGGTAATATAACCCTGGTTCGTCAAACATTTTAGCTCATCAGTAATTTGTTGTTGTCTTAGAAGTGTTGATGAGCATGTGGTGGGTGGGCGTGGTGGTGAGAGCTATGCAGTGTGGGGGTACTAAAGCCTGCACGGGTCTAAGCGAGCGTCCCCACCGCCCGCCTAGTCACTCACCACCAGCGCCGCCACACCACACCTTGTTTATTATTATTTGTCGTGGAAACTATCAAATCATAATTTTATGAGGCCTTAGTAGTGGATACTGTGAATATTATCTGTGTTATGTGAGGTTTGTGTTTATGAAGTCCAACTAGTCTTATTCTATATTGTCCATTATGGATAACCTTCGTCCATGAAGATGGTTGTCTTTTGGGATCCTCTTTTGTTACCATATACTGCACATGTTGTTATGCCACTGTGACTCGGGGAGGACGTCGTTATCACCAAAGACGGAGACGAAAAAACCAACAATGTTGAAAAACCTCCCCGGGTTTCGCTTCACCCCCTCTGGTTGTTATTGTCACATGCCCTGTTAGTAACCGATAACATTGCGTCAGGGTTACAGGTCCGACGTTCCCTGCTACCATAGGATCACTGCATCTCGCTGTTCTAGTCACGATTCCACCAATAGAGCTGAGCGGACGCCTCTCCAGCCTTCACCTGTCCCTTGGTCGTGGTCCAGGATCGTGATGATTTACAGATATGATCGCCCCTTACCTTATTTTGGATATGTTTATCTCTAGTATCTGAGACTGGTACTTTACTCATTTAGTCATGATCAGTATACCAGATAGGTCCTCCAGTATACTAGCAATGATCAGTGTGCACTAGAACCCTTCATCCTGGCCACAAGGGTCCGCTCCTCTTCCCGCTACCCACCACAGAGGTCATAACGTCCCAATCCTTTAATGATCCCAGCCCTCCCCTACCCCCGAGATCATATGGTCCCTGCAGCAGCTTGCCCGACCCTACAGGTCATTTATGCATTGTATTCATCGATTTCTCAATTAAATTTTTACATAGTTTATTTTAGTTAATAAACATCACAAGTGAAGATGTGTTTTGATTCCACCACCTTTTACTTCGCTTCTTCTTAACTGTTGTAGAAATCATCATCGTCGTTTTACGGTTTTTCCACTTTTGCTTGGGTTAGCTGTAATTATTTGATGATAGCTCTCCGAGAAGTTTTACGGTCTCCTGCAGCCCCACTCGTCAGATTTATCTCTGAGGTCATTTTTTATAACATTTTCCCGTGTCAGTTTATGTCTATCCCTAGCTCGCCCACATTAAAATTTATACATCTCTTGACCCAGTTGGTAACCTCCATTCTCTCCATCGCATCCTATCTAAACACAAAACCTCGCCATACTCTCAATACTTAACCACTTTTTAGTTCTGAACAAAGATTATTACCTTTCAGTATAATATTACTTATCATGTCACTTTTGTTATTCAGCTCATTGTTGGTGCGTTTTACTGCCGTACAACAACACACATCACAACCTCGTATTTTTTTTTCCTTTCACAGGGGATATTCTTGAAAGGTCAATAAAGGCAGCGCTCCTGAAAATTTTTTCCATTCAATATACTCGCTAACTTCAGTTAGTCAGTACTAACTCTAGCACTGATTGTGTCACACAGTTGTGTTTTCCCACATGCAGATGGACTTATCTTGACTTAAAATTAGCATCCCAGGCCTGTCATTTGGATTATACTGGTTGCACCTCTCTATATACCTAACTTCCACGCTCACAGCACATTACTGATCTGATGCCAAAACCATCTACACAGCATATGGCTATTTCAATTTTTCCACCACTGGTCCTTTCACCCACAATTCATTAATTAATATTTTTGGTTTCCACATTCACTTTCGTTGTTTTTGTGTTATTCATCCTTCCATTTCTTAAAAATTTCACTACCTCTTTCAATACCTCTACTATCAGTAATAAGTCGTCGGCATACACCAACACTCAGGGCAAACCAACTGAAAGTCCGTGAAGTGCCTCAGCACTATGATATAACATAACGGCTCAGATATCCTTGTTTAACCCTCACTTTCACCAAATTTCTCACGTGCTTGCCATTTACAATGACAGCGATTATTGATCCCTTATACAATACCATAACACCTAAACGAGACAGTCGACCTTAGTTTTTCTATTGCCTTGCACTACCTCACATAGTACAGGTCAATGTCTTCGTCTAGTCTAAGAAATGTGAAGTTCAATTTTTCCTTCCGTCCTGTAGCCCCTGTGGACATGTACCCAAAATTTGAGGTTGTCCTCTCTCATTTATCAATTTTTTTTTTTTTTTCGACCATTTTCCCAGCCATAACCTAGTCTAACAGGTTTAGGTCAAGTAGTTTCACGTTTCAGGTATCACATTTACCCTGTATATTCATAATCACAGTTTTTAGTTAATCGCTGGAATAATACATTCCATCAAATTTCATTAATTAATTCCATCACGCCAGAATATTTTGATGCTTTAACATGTCTGCAACGATTCTGAGCTACTACCCGCTTTACAATTTTAGTTTGTCATTCTGCTTTCACTCCATTCACTTTTAATCCGCATTGTCACTGTACTGTTCTTGCTGTTCTGGGCTATAAAAATCCTAATTAATTTAAGTTCAGGAGTAGTCTTAACTGTAAGAGTTCTAACTCTGTCAAGTGTTTTATTGTGAGACTGATTTTAAACGTGCTTGCAATACAAAATATAAATAATAAGTGATATAAAGGTAGGTTCACAGTCTGAATACGAACAATCATAAAGTATGTTTGAGATAATGAGCACATTTAAAGATGGATTTTTCCAACCATAAATCTTTTACTTTTAAACATTATCCCCAGTACTTTTTCTTCCCCCCCTGGCGTGAAGGTTGCTTACAATGAAAACTATCTCAAATGAGGAAATTTTGCTTTGCAAGGTAAAAATATTTATACTAAACTGATAGATATATACAATTGGCAAAGTTAGTCGGATCTTGATAGCGAAAATAAAACTAATTATAATCTTCTTTAACATTAACACTTTTGTTAAAACCAGGCATTGCTGTACAACTGACTACCTGCCCCATCTCCTTCAGTTAAATAGCGTGAATCCAGATTATCGTTGGATGAAGTCCACCCTGGTTGTTTCATCACTTCATCACTCAGCTGCTTTTGACACTGTTGATAGTAATGTTGCATAGTAATCTCTCAACTTCTTGGTGGCAGAGAGTCCACTTTATCGCTTACTCAGTCCTGTCTATAAGATCACCTCCATTTGCTGTAGTTAAGATCAGTAAATAAACTTGCCTCTTGCAATGCGGAATGCCATAGGAATTGGCATTGATTCACTTGTTTTATCATAGATTTTGACCTTGTAACCTGCTGGGAGGCTCATAGTATTGTTTATCCTTTTTACATAGATAATTGAAAAACAAAGCATTAACAAATCTTAATATGCAGGCCATTGATTTTGCTTGTAGAGCAAATATGGAATATCAGCTCAAACAATATTGTTTATTTAATTTTAATGTTCAGTTTGTATGTCTGTTGTCTCAGATATATATTTGTATGTATATCATAACATATCGATATTTTTATAAATTGCTATAAAAGACTCAATGTTCTCTAAGAAAAACTAAATCAATTTGATTTATTGTTGGCACCATGATAACATTTATAATTGTTTTACTATACTATATACCTGTAAGGTATGGTTTTATAACCACCAAGCCTTTTATTTCTAAATACTCACATGAGACAACGATTCAGTAATTTGGTAACAAAATATAGTGTTAATGGAATACAATAAAGTTTGTGTTTGGTATATTTTAATATTTTTGAAGACTATTTCTTTGTTAAAGTACTTCCTCTTAAAACATCACTTTCTAATGAGGTTAAAAAACATCTTTCCAATGGCATAAGATAAATCCTCACAGCAAATAATGATAGCCAGAGTTTATGAACAATCATAATATGTTCAAATGAATTTAATTTAAAAACAAAGAAACAGGTTTA